GTTTTCCAGCTAATCACTGAGCAGAATTCCTGGAATCCAGTTGCAGAGAGGGAGGAGTGATGAGCAAAGGGGTCAAGACCAGGCTGGGGAAACCTACAGAAACAACTGACCTGAACAAGTGGGAGCTCATGGACCCCAGACTGACAGCTGGGAAACCAGCATAGGGAGCCCGGTCCCCTGAACGTGGGTATCAGTTAGGAGGCCTGGGTAGTCTGTGGGGACTCTGGTAGTGGAACAGTATTTATCCCTAGTGTACCAATGGACATGGGGAGCCAATTCCTCACAGAGGGTTACTCTCTTGGTCTAGACACAAGGGGGAGGGCCTAGGCCCTGCCCCAAAGGATGAGACATACTTTGATCCCCCAGGGAAGGTCTCTCCCTTTCTATGGAGCAGAAGAGAGATGGGGTGGGGGGGGGCATGGGAGAATGGGAGGGGGAGAGAACTGGGATTGATATATAAAATAAGATTGTTTCTAAATTAAATAAAAAAATTAAAAAAAAAGAAAAAGTGCTTTCCCAACCTTTTGAGTTTTATTGGCTCTGACTTCTGGGAGCAGGGTGGAGAAGATGGGGTTCGAAGAACCCTGTTGCTCTGTCTTGTTCCCATCGAGCAAGGCAGAGACTGGGGAGCACCTATGCATCTGCACTGCATTGCCCTCTCCTTGTTTTCATTTGGGTGTTCCACCAGGTGCAGGGTGTTTTCATTGACCTCTAGGAGGGAGAAGGGGAAGGGTTAAACGTAGCCACAAGGTTTTGTTCACAAGAGACATAATTGGCATCCTTCTAATGAGTATAATTACATTTTGAATAAAACTTGTCCTCATCATAATTACTTCTTGTATGGCTCTTTGAAATAATATAATTATTTTGACATTTGGGAAAAAGTTCTTTTGGGGAGGGGGACAGGGTCTCACTGTATAGCCCTGGCTGTCAGGCTGGCTTTGAACTTACAGAGTGCCTCTGCCTCCCAAGTGCTGGGATTAAAGGCATGCCCCATTATGCCCAGTTACAGTTCTTTTCATATTGATATACCCTGTGTACCTCCAAAAATTAATTATTCTATTCTTTAAACTTCTTTGTGTGAGATATGTTTTTGAGATAAACTTTTGAATTTGATCTCAAGAGTGAGTCTGAGGCATTCCTTGGTTGGCTGGACTCTGCTGTGTAGATTTCCATTTCCCTTTTCTGTTCTTTTTCACGCGTGAAGACCCTGGAGTAGAGAGACCCAGCCCAGAGCTTGCTGGAGGCTGCTGGGAGTGGCAGGGCCAACATTTGGCCCTGGGAATTATGACTCAAGCTTTTCTTCTTCCAGGACAGATCTTAAATTGTATTTTGCCTCTACTTTCTTTGCCTTTAGTTGCCCAGGCAATCTTTTTACAGCAAGTTCTGGGCTTCTTTTTATTGCATGTATTTATTTGTGTAAATATGTGTGCATCTGGGGGTGCACTTGTGACACAGCATATGTGTGTAACACAGAGGATAACTTGTGGGAATTGGTGCTCTCCTTCCACCATGTGGGTCCTAGGGACTGAACTCAGGTTCCTTTGCAGGTTGAGCCACCTTGAAGGCCAGGCTCTGGGCCAGGCTTTGGAGACTCAGCAGCAAGGCTGCCCACATTACTGTTTTTTATTGGGTCTGTCTTGGGAAAGTTATCCAATCCCTGGAGCCACAGCTTCCTCATTTCTGAGAGAGGTGTCACACCTGTAAAATTGTGCCTAGGACATGAGCTACCTGCTGAGTTTTGGTACCAGTCCAGTCTGGGTTGGTCGCTTGTGAACAGTCCGTTGTCTTCAGAAGTTAGAGCTAAGTGAGTGAGCCATTGCCTGGCTGTGAGTAGGTGTTCTGACGTGGAGATAGATGTGGGGAGATAGGAGAGGTTTGTTCCTCACCCTGCAGGGACTTGAGTGAAAAGCCCCTAAGAGGTGGCTGCACTTGAACCAAGATTTGGAGCCCAGTGAGGGATTAGCAGGCAAAGAAAGGGGGAAGGGCATTCCAAGCAGTACAAAGCCTCTGAAAGGACTAGGCCTCTGGTAAAGTTCCTGCTGGAGGGGAAAGGAAGGGGAGTGGATCTTGGAGAAACTAAGACAGGCTTTTAAGAAAAGGAAGCCTTTTATAGTTCTGATGGGGTCTCTAGAGTAAGGGCAGGCCTTTGACTTGGCAGAGCATTGGCCTGAGAGGGTGTTATGTTCTTTTGTAAGGAATTCAGTGGGAGCCAAGAATGGTTCCCACCGGGGCCCCCTGCGGTGGAATCTAAGTACACTCCCTGGAAACCCACCTGCTGGCTTGGCCAGTGGCCCTGAATTCCACTTTCAGAGGGAAATGATCCCATTCCTTTCTAACCCTGAATATGAAACAATGCAGAAATCACTGCATACTCCGTTAGCAGAGAACACAAGATAAAAGGTGTCCTATTGCAAAGACACACCCTATATATAGATGCCGATAATAATTGCAAGGGTATAAAATAGCAGAAAAATCAAAAGCTCTAAAGGACCCCACACACACACACACAGCGTTTTTCTGTGTAGTTCTTGTTATAATAAATTGAGTGAGGGACCATGGCGGGCGAGGGTGACCGACAAACATGCTAGACAGATAGAACTTAGTGAGAAGTTTTATTAGAAACTGGAGGGAAGGGAAGAAGGAAAGAGAAAAGAGGTAAAGACACACAGAGACAGACAGAGGACAGAAGAGGGAGACAGGAAAAGTCCTGTCTGCCCCAGGGAACTGTGGAAAGAGAGCAAAATAGAGGGGATCTTTTTTTAAAGAGCCAGGGTACATATACCTGCCATGCGCAGGTGGGTGAGAAGCGAGCCAGGTTTGCATGAAATACAACAGCCCTGGCTGTCCTGGAACTCGATTTGTAGACCAGGCTGGCCTTGAATTCAGAGATCAACCTGCCTCTTCCTCCCCAGTGCTGGGATTAAAGGTGTGCGCCACCACCGCCTGGCCTAAAGGATTTACTTGTATCCAGTATATTAGGAGTTTTCCCTATGTTCATCAGACATTGGGGTAGATAAGATTCTTCATGTCCTTTAATCATTCAGACATCCTTATGAAGTAATTGTCCGCAGTTTACGCAGGTGAGGACACTGGGATCTGGAGGAGCCCAAACAGCCTGATGCTATTATTATTATTTTAGAAAAAAATTTTTTTTAAGATTTATTTTTATTTTTTATGTATACAGTGTTTTGTCTGCATGTATCCCTGCACGCCAGAAGAGGGCACCAGATCTCATTACAGATGGTCGTGAGACACCATGTGGTTGCTGGGAATTGAACTCAGGCCCTCTGGAAGAGCAGCCAGTGCTCTTGACCGTTGTTGAGCCATCATCTCTGCAGCCCCCATTATTTTTTTTAAGATTTATTTTCAGTGTGCATGTGTAAATATGTGTGAAAGTGTGCACACTTGCATGCAGATGTCCTCAGTGGCCAGAAGACAGTGTTGGATTGTTTGGAGCTGGATTTATAGATGGTTCTGAGCTGCCTGATGTGAGTGTGGGCAACTCACCCATATATGAGCTGGTTCCTCTGATCTGAATGGGGTAGGTAGGTGGGTGTAAGATTTACTGCAGCTAATTATTTCATTTAATTACATTCTGAGATAAATAAGTATTAGTGTAGTGGTATCTTACCGGTAAACCTGTAATGGTGGCCACACCCCTTTGGGCCTGGCTTCAAATGGATGGAAGTAGAAAGAGGGAAGTGTGAGGTGTGGTCTTGCTTGTGCACTCTTTGTTTTGGGTCAGTCGAACTGTTAGGAAGGACAGAGAAGCGCTCCCGAGGTTCTTTATTACTATTTGTGTAAGTGTTCCCCAATAAACACCCATTTTTCATTTATCTTGGGTCTAGTGAAATCATTACACCTTCATCTCACTACCCCTTAGTCATTGTTCCAGCCAAGGACTGTTTTTCATGCTCCAAGTTTTGCACTGGCCGTATCTTTGTCTGGGTGTATTCTTTCACCAGAAGTGTTATGCCTCTGCCTCCTGCAGCAAATACTACCAGCATGTGCTACCACAACCAGCCACTATTTTTTAACCACTTTATCCTTTTTTTTCCTTTCCCAAGTCTACATATATTTTTAAAAACACTGTATAAACCCTTTAGAGATTTTTCTTCATCTGAATCTGTCTTTATTGTATATCTTGATCTCTAGCCACGAGTCTTTTTATCTGCTAAACAGCATGGCTAAAGTTAAAGCTGAAACCTCCCTTAAAGGAGCCGAGAGCCTCTGCTTGCCTCTATCAAACAGAAACAACCCAAGAAAATGCTGCTACCAAGAAGCTGTGCTTGACTTTGTTCTTTTGTTTCTAAAATCCCCTCCTTTTTTTTTTTGGTTTTTCGAGACCGGGTTTCTCTGTGTAGCTTTGGAACCTATCCTGGCACTCGCTCTGGAGACCAAGCCTTGAACTCACAGAGATCCACCTGCCTCTTCTTCCGGAGTGCTGGGATTAAAGGCGTGCACCACTATCGCCCGGCTTCTAAAATCCCTTTTTAAGCTTTTGTCAGGTTCTATGTGGAAATTCATCCTCACGTCTGAGTTCTTTCCCACCAGCTTGGCTGCCTGAATCCCAAATAAATACATGGACGCTATATATGAATTATAAAATTGTTAGCCGGTGGCTAGGGCTTCTTATTGACTAGTTCTGTCTTAATTATTAACCCATAGCTACTAATCTGTATTTCCACGTGGTCCTGGCTTACTGGAGAATGGCCTGACTTGTTACTCCTTTGGCGGCCTATATGTTGACTGACTTTGGTGGGTTCCCTTTGCCTACCTTTCCCAGAATTCTCCTTGTCTTCTAGTCCCACCTCCATGCCTGCCTTATTGGCACAGTGTTTTATTCATCAACCAATAAGGGAAACATACATATGGAAGGACATCCCTCCATCATATTAGTTATATTATATGTAATAACTTTCTCCCATTTCTTTAACCCTTTCAGTTATGAGTAAATAATGACATCGTCTCTTGTTTTGTTTTGTTTTTTCCCTAAGGTTAAAAATGTGTCTGCAGGCACACAAGACATGCCTCCACCGCCATCTGACTATGCAGAGAGAGTGGACAGTCTGATGGCCTACTCCTCTAATGGCAAAGTGGACGGCAAGCGGTCATACCCAGAGTCTTTCTATAAGTCAACACCCTTGTAAGTAGCACCTTAGTTTGGTAACGTTTGTCTAAGAGGAATATTGGCCTATCACTTTGTGCCATCCTCCCTTACACTGTTTGAGTCACCAGGCTGAGAAGCGACAGAGCCACTCTCCTTTAAAAAGTGCCTGCCAGTAGGCAGGATAGCTGGATGCAGAACCTCCTTCCTGTTGCAGTGATTTTGCTAGAGGCCTCAGTGCTGCTTGAGAATGCAGGATGAGGAGGGTGAGACCCCTCCTTTTCATCTGCTAATTGTATTGAAAGGTCAGATCTGTGGCTTTTCACTAGGAGTGGGGGGTTCTGTAGTCTGCTCTGTGGTGATATATTGTTTATGATATTTATGCTTTATTAAAACTTGAAGCTGAAGATCAGAGAAGCAAAGCAGCCAAGCCAGTCTCCCTGAATCCTTAGAGGCAAAAGGCTCTGAACTTCTGTCCCCCCTCCTTATATTCCGCTCTCTGCCCAGCTATATTCTCCTGTCTACACCTTCCTAGTGGTGGGATTAAAGGCATGTGATCCCAGGTCCTGAGATCACCTTTGTGTGAGCTGTTTCTTTTAAGACTGGATCAATTTCTGTAGTTAGTGTGGCCTTGAACTTACAGAGATCTATCTACCTCTTAATTTTGAGTCCTGGGATTAAAGGTGTGTGTTACCATTCCCTGGATAGCTAGTGTGGCTTGTGGCTAGCTTTGCTTTCTGAATTCTCAGACAAGCTTTAATATATCATAAGAAATGTATCACCACACTGCTTGGAAGTGAGTGTGGAAGTTAACTGAGCAGAGGTGTGTTAAGAAAACTTAAGTTTTCTCCCTTTGCCTGTGATTATAGGGTCTTATAGACAGGAAAGGTTGTGTGTTGATAGGCTCTGATCACACACATGCCTGTTAAACTAGAAAACACTATTTGAATTCCAGAATTTTGGTTATCTGTCTGTTTTTCACCATTTAACAAAATATCCAAGGCAGAGTTACTTTGTAAACCTCATAGCTGGGGAGGTAAGGGCACTGGCACCTGCTTGGCTCTGGTGAGGACCTTGTGGTGATGGCAATGTAATGACAGGGGCACCTTTGGGGACAAGAGAGAGCGAGGCACAGGTTGAGATGGACCTCAGGCCTCTTGAAGGGAAACACTCATGGTGACTTTAGAAACCTCCCAGTAGGCTCCAGGGCTTGAAGGCCCACAGTGATACCAGACATCACCATCTTAAGGATGAAGCCTGCCACCACTAAATGCAGGGAGGATACACTGGGACCACCTCCAAACCTTAGCATTTCCTTTGTGCTTTCCATGTTGTTGGAATGTGTGAAACCTCACAGTTAAGATTTGCTGTTTCCCCATCATACTCACCTAACTCTGTCTTGAAGTAACTAAGAATTTAATGTATGTCCCCATCTATTAGTTTAATCTTTAAAAAAAGTAAGACTTATGTTAGGATTTATGGGAGAAGCAGGGGGTGAATATGATCAAAATTTACTGAATTTAATTTTCAAAGAAATAATAATTCTCTAATAATATTTTGAAAAAGATTTATTTTAACTTACCTGTGTGTATGGTGGGAGGGGTGGGGTGGGTTAGGAGGTGGGAGGGGTAGGTTGTGTTGTGCACATGAGTGCAGTTGTCAAATCCTCTGGAGCTGGAGTGACAGATGGTTGTGAGCTGTGAGCCTCCTGGTGTGGGTCTTCTGGAAGAGCAGCCCTGGATATTGTTTCTTCTCCTTCACTAATGGCATGTCATTAGAAAAGAAGGGCTCTTGTAAATCTGTTTTCAGTCCTGTATTGTCTCGAATACCAGTCATTCGTACAACACTGAGCTAAGTGCTCCTTCATCTTCATGTTTTCATAGAGTTTGCCAAACAAAGATGGGCAAAATGCAGAACACTCAGTCAAAGGCCACAATAGGAATAGCAAAGGCAGGTGAGGGGAGTGTGTCAGAACGAAGAATGAATTCCAAACTTACAAAAATGGCCCTCTACAAAAGACAAAGTAAGTTGGTACACGGCTTTAATCCCAGCACTTGGAAGACAGAGGCAGGTGGATCTCTGTGAGTTCAAGGCTAACCTGGTATACACAGCCAGGACAGCTAGGTCTACACAAAGAGAAACCCTGTCCTTTTTTTTTTTTTTTTTTTTTTTTTTTTTTTTTTTTTTTTAGGGTTTCTCTGTGGCTTTGGAGCCTGTCCTGGAATTAGCTCTTGTAGATCAGGCTAGTCTTGAACTCACAGAGATCCGCCTGCCTCCTGAGAACTGGGATTAAAGACGTGCATCACCACTCCCCAGCTTGAGAAACCCTGTTTTGAACCCCATCCTCCAAGTTTCTTTAAAACCTAAAATCCCTTTAAAGAATTAGTCTCTCAGCTGTGGGCGCCAGTAAAATAAACAATAAGTTAAATACTTCTTTACTTCAAGAAGGAAATGCCAGAACATAGTTACAGTCAGATCAAAGCAATGTCCAGTATATGGGATTCACCCACGGTCTTCTGGGCCCCTCCTCCAGCTTTGCCCTCTGAAGCACACACATTTTGTCTTCTAATCTTGGGCAGGCTCTACTCCACGGCTGTTGCTGTTCTTATGGACAATCTGTGGTACTGGAGTCTCCAAAAGGCCGGGTCTTCTGCTGCAGCTGGGCTGCACTTTCACCTCTCTTCGGCACTCTTCATGGTGCCAGACCTCAACTTCCCTGCATAATCCCTTCAATCCTAGGCCTTTGACTGCTACTGAGGCTGCACCTTCACCAATGGTCTCTCCTGGCCTCTCAGTGCCAAGCCTCAAATGTTCTCCATGACCCCTCCATACCTTCAAAACCAGCACCACCTGGGTGCTCTTGCACTACCAACTTCGGCTGCCAGCATGAGGTACAGCCGTGGCCACATCTGGAACACAGCTTTTATGTACTCACTGCAAACATTTGCCCTCAATGATGCCGGTCTTTCCTTTCCTTTCCCTTCTCCTTCCTTCCTTCCTTCCTTCCTTTCTTTCTTCCTTCCTTTCTTCCCTTATTTATTAATTATTTGGTCTCTTTTCCTCATCACTAATTTCTCAGCTTCAGCTAACCAGCATTGATGATCCTGGTAGAACAAAGGTTTCTCTTTAGTGATTCAGGTCTCTTGCTAATCATAGCCAATTCTTCATCCCTGACTGACCAGAGCTACAGATTCTTCACACAAATGGCCCAAATCTTTGCTTTGCTTCCCTCTGAAATGTCACAAGCCAGGCATACCTGTCTGCTGTCAATATTCTTATCTTCAAAGCTCCAATAGAACAGCTCACTGAGCTCTCAATGACTTTTCTAGGCCAAAGCCACAATCCTCCCCAAAACAGCATGGTCAGGTCTGTCACAGCAATATCCGACTATCCTGGTACCAACTTGTCTTAGTTAGGGTTACTATTGCTGTGATTAAACACCATGACCAAAGCAACTTGGGGAGGAAAAGGCTCATTTGGTTACATTTCTTTATCACTGTTCATCAGTGAAAGAAGTCAGGACAGGAACTCATGCAGGGCAGGAACCAGGAGGCAGGAGCTGATGTAGAGACCTGCAAATAGGCGAGCCATATTCAGAAAGCTTTATTTGAAGCCTGGCATGGTGGTTCATTCCTGTAGTCCTAGCCCTTGGGGAAGTAGAGGCAGGATGATCAAGAGTTCAAGGTCATTCATCCTCAGCTGTATTGTGAATTTGTGGCCAGGGTCGCACAACACCCTGTCTCAGAAACAAACAAACCCCCTTCAAAACAAAGGACAACAACAAAGTCTTTTTACTGTCTCAAAGTAAAAAAAGCACGTACAGTAGCTGGTATTGTGGGTGGATTGTTGAAAAACTTGTTAATCATTGACACTCATGGAAGCATAGCATTCGAATAACACGTACATTGGCTGAATAGTTTTCAACAGAAGAAATAAATACCACCACCCCCATTTCCCCAACTGCACCTCCATTCCCTGAAGCTTTAGGGTTAATAGAGCTTAAGTGTGGTTAGAATGCTAAGGCCCTGACAATAGTGAGAACCAAGTGGCCCTAGAGACCAGTAAACCTGAGAGATAAATGCTCAGCTTCTGGATTCTGTAAGTTAGAAACAGTAGGAGAGGGGAAGGGGCTGGAGATACAGCTTGGTGGATGAGTGCTGCCTGCCCAGCATTCATGAGGTCCCAGGTTCAATCTGAAGCATCAGCCACTAAAGAAAACAAAAAATGTGAGGAAGGGGGGAAAAGCTTCAGATATTTTAAATAGTTGGTTTGAATAGCCAGGCTGATACCTAACTTTGTTCATTTCTGTTCTTACTGTTTACAGAGTAAAGTGAAACTGTTTCTGTTACTCAGAAGTAATGTACACTTGTCCTAACCCTTACTTTTTATTACTGCATTGGGCTTTGTTTTCATGCTTGTGGCTGGAACATTACATGCAATTTAAAATCTGATGCAACATGAAATAATTACTTCAGAAGCATAATAAGTGTTATGGTAAATCTCCTGTTGATTCTAGATGGCCTTAAGATCAACACAGAGAGAGTTAAATGAATACTTAATAAACTCCTCCCTTTGAATGGTGGGGGTTTAGACAGGGTCTCACTGTGTAGCCCACCCAAGGAGACTCAAAGATTCTGCTCTAACCTCTTGAATGCTGGGGTGACAGGCATTTGTCACTATATTCAAAAGCAGGAAGCATTTTAGTTTAAGTATTGTAGTCTTTCAAACTTTCATCTCTAAAAGATAATCTATATGTGGTAACATAAAATTAATGTTGCAAAGAGCCTATCTCCATTGGATAAGCTGTGTCTTGGTCCTCACACAGCATTCCACAGGTTCCAGGGGACTGGAAGAACCTGTAGGAAAGAATTTTGCTCATTTTCCTGAGAGCCTTTTGTAGAGTAAGTCTCTGGCATGGGGCAAATAAACACCTCTTATAACTTTAGTTTGAACTTCCTAAAAGGAAGTGTGAGATCTATTTTTCTTAGAAGTTTGAGCATGGACGCCCTCCCCCAAGCAGAGCTGTAAACCTTCTTGTGTTACAGGGCTCTGAATTGTGCCAAACTGACTGCAGAAAGTCAGGCATCTGTCTGCTCAGCGTAGCAGATGAACTCCTCGGATGAGTGCTTGAGTATGGGTGCCTCCTGGTGCTGTTTTCACTGCCCTTTTGGGTTGCAGAGTGGTGGTAGAGTCAGAGTGTTCTTCTTGGTCTCTGAGCAGTGGCCTGTGTTTTCACTAGGGTACCTGAAGTGGCTCAGGAGCTTCCTTTGACTTCGCCTGTGGATGACTTCAGGCAGCCTCGGTACAGCAGCAGTGGTAACCTAGAGACACCTTCAAAGAGGGCTCCCACAAAGGGAAGAACGGGAAAGCTGAAGAGAACAGAGCCGGACTACTATGAAACAGACTACACTACAGGTGGTGAATCGTGTGACGAGTTGGAGGAGGACTGGGTTAGGTAAGACCTTTCTCCTTTTCCAGGTTGACCAGCCAGGTTTAGGGTTATTGCCTTTGAAACTGCGGTCATGTTGTCATCTCATTTTTTTGCCACCCCCCAAGGCCTGGGGACAGTTTTAGAGGTTGGGTTTTTCTTTGGTTCCCTTTTATAAAACAGAAGTAGAGGGGTCTGTTTGGTTGTAACTGTGTTTCTCTCACACACATACTTCTTCCTGAAATGGCTCTTTACCACTAGACCCCCAAGGAAGGCTTTCAAAGAAATAAAACATGGGTATAGGGGAGTTGTGTTGGACTGATTATAAAATTTCCAAGTCACACAGGCTTTCCTTTGGCAATTACCTTCAAGTTACACTTTCATGGTAAGCCCTGAGTTTCTTTTAAAGTTTAATCCAAAGAACTCTGTGACAGTTTCATAAACAGTTAAGGAAACAGTTTGGAGTTGCAGCAAAAGTTATGGTTGAGGTCTTTGTGTCAGTGGCTGGGTTTAGTCTACCATCACTGAATATACAGATATGTGATGTGTAGCCTTGCCCTGTTAGGCATTCTGACACTAGAACCACTACAACAGACTTCAGAAAATTTTTTTTGCCTGCCTGCCTGCCTGCCTTCCTTCCTTCCTTCCTTTCTTCCTTCTTTCCCTTCTCTTCCCTTCCCTTCTCTTCCCTTCTCTTCCCTTCCCTTCCCTTCTCTTCTCTTCCCTTCCCTTCCCTTCTTTTCTTTTCTTTTTCTTTTTCTTTTTTTTTGAGACAGGATCTCTCTGTGTAGCCTTGGCTGTCCTAGAACTCAATCTGTAGACTAGGCTGGCCTCAAACTCAGAGATCTACCTGTGCCTCCCAAATTCTGGGATTAAAGGTGTACACCACCACTGCCCCACTCAAGCATGCTTCTCAAGGCGTTAGGAGCATGGATAAGCTTGACATCCCTTACTTATGGTTCTTGTGCTTTGCATTCTTTGCCCACAAGAATCTTACTAGCCTGGTTTATTCATCTATCTGTGAAATATCTGTCTAAGTTGTATGAGGGACATTTAACTGAGAAATCAAAAGTTTCTGTTTTCCTTTTAATTAAAAGATACAATTTTCCTCCCTGTAAAATGAAGACATTTTACTGACTGTTAGTGTTAAAATTTAAGTCCCATATTCCATGAAGCTTCCTGTGAAATAATACCCAGCATTTTTCCAGTGGATGTTTTGATGTGTCAGCTTCCTATACAAGGAATGGCTAACACATTCAGAGATACAGAATCCATCTTAGAGATTGTTTATTACATTTTCTTTTTTTGGGTAGGGGGCACTGTGTGTGTGTCTGCGTGTTGTGTCTCTGTGTGTATGTGTGTCTGTGTGTCTATCTGTGTGTGTGTGTGTGTGTGTGTGTGTGTGTGTGTGTCTGTGTGTTGGGTTTCTGTGTGTGTGTCTATCTGTGTGTGTGTGTCTATGTGTGTCTCTGTGTGTGTGTGTAGGTCAGAGGACAATTTGAGGGAGTCAGAATCACTTCTCTTCTTACACCATGTGGGTCCTAAGGATCAAACTCATGTCCCCAGGTTTGGACGTAAGCATTTCTGCCTGCTGAGCCATCTTGCTGGCTTCAGAATTCCAGCTTTAATTCATCATATTTTCATGAATTGCCAAATTGCTTATGCAATGACCTTGTTTTTATAGGTTTTTTTTTTTTTAATGCTGGAGATAGAACCTAGGATATTACACACTAATCACACACATTAGTGCTGAGCCTCTGTGTGTACATTTTTAAATGCATACTTTTCTAATGACAAAACATGATAAGCTGTTTCCACTTGGGAAAAATAAGACCAAAAATAAACAAATAAGCTGGTCTGAAGATGATAGCTGGTAGCAGGAAACAGCCACTCCTGGCCAGCTGCTCTTCGGCAATTTGTGTTCAGTTATCCTGTGGTGTCACTAGTGAGAATAGTGTTCAGTTATCCTGTGGTGTCACTAGTGAAAATCATGTTCGGTTATCCTGTGGTGTCTCTAGTGAAAATCGTGTTCAGTTATCCTGTAGTGTTATTAGTGAGAATAGTGTTCTGTTATCCTGTGGTGTCACTAGTGAGAATAGTGTTCTGTTATCCTGTGGTGTCACTAATGAGAATCAGTGCATTCTTACTAATTGGGAACCTTAAATTTCATGACTTTCACCTTTTGTAAAAATATGAGGAGTATTAATTTAAAGTGAGTGGTAATATAAAAAACATAATTATTATTTTTGTGCAATAGTAGGGTTTGAACTCAGAACCTTGTACATGGTGTGGGCAGATGGTCTGCCACTGAGCTGTCTCTTCAGGTCTGAAGTCATTCTATAGGGCTTATGTTTGGAACTTTAAGTAAGGGAGCACAGCCATGTGACCAAATGATGGTCTCCCTTGCAGAAGGGCATCCTGTTGACAAGTCTGTGGCTTTGGGAGGCAAGTGCTTGGAATGGTGAGGCAGGAGGGGAGATCCACTTCCCACTGCAGACTAAGTGCCTGAACAGCTAAGGGGATGACAGGGTTTCCAGGCAGATCACCTTTATAGTCTCTGTTGCAGTTCTTTGTAGAATTTAGTTGCATCCCACTTCTGTCTCCTAGGACACAGCAGAAAACAAGTGAGCACAGTTTCACACTCCTTACCAGTGTGCTGCCTTTGAGGGAAGCCACTGGCTTCTTCTGTGTACGAAGGGTACTCACGTAACCATTTCCTCCTTTGCTTCCCAGGGAATATCCACCTATCACTTCCGATCAACAAAGACAGCTCTACAAGAGAGATTTTGACACAGGTCTACAGGAGTACAAGAGTTTACAAGCTGAACTCGACGAGGTCAATAAAGAGCTCTCTCGTCTAGACAAAGAACTGGATGACTACAGAGAAGAAAATGAAGAGTACATGGTAAGGTCCAAACCTAATTTGTTTTGTCTGTTTTTTGGTTGGTGTTTTGTTTTTAAAGTCAGGGTCTCACATACCTCAGGCTGACCTTGAACTCACTGTACAGCTGAGCATGACATTGAATACCTGATGCTTTTGCCTTCATCTCCCAAGTATTGGGATTTCAGACATGTGCCCTACCTTTCCTGGCTTCAGACCACACACACACACACACACACACACACACACACGCACGCACGCACACACTCATAATATAAATAAATTAGTTACAAAGCAATGATGTATCCCTGCCTATTTAAAAGAAAATGGTCATATTAATTTTTCTATTTATAAATGTAATTCATACTGGGCATTGGTGGCACAGTCCTTTAATCCCAGCACTCGAGGCAGAAGGATCTCTGAGTTCGAGGCCAGCCTTGTCTACAGAGCGAGTGCCAGTATAGGTTCCAAAGCTACACAGAGAAACCCTGTCTCGAAAAACAAAGAAACAAAACAAAAACCAACACACACACACACACACACACACACACACACACACCGCACGCACGCACGCACGCACGCACGCACGCACGCACGCACGCACATTATTCATTCTTATTGTAAAAACCTCAACTCAGAATTGGACCCATAAAAGTATATCCTTTGGGTGGAGCTTGGTGTCATACACTTTTAATCCCAGCACTAGGGAGGCAGGGGCAGGATCTCTGTGAGTTTAGCCATTTTAATTTACGTGCTGAGTTCTAGGTTAGCCAGGGATACTGGGGGACAGGGGTTGGGGGGTTTTCCCTTAAATTTCTACCACATACTCCAGAAAAACTTTGTTACCAAGAAAATGTCAGGAGTGTAGGTAGCCAGACACAGGCTTCCATAAGGACTGGTTTTGAACCGTTAAGAGCACTGGTCTTCCAGAGGATTGGGGTTCAATTCCTAGTACCCACTTGTCAGTTCATACCATCTATAACCCCAGTTCCAGGGTATTTGATTCCTTCTTCTGGCCTACATAAAGACCAGGTATAAGTGATGTGCAAACTTCAGGCAAAGTACTCATACACAAAAAATTTAAATTAAAATTAAGCTGGGCATGGTAGTTCATACCTTTAATCCCATCATTCAGGTGGTAGAGGCAGGCGGATCTCTTGAGTTCAAGGCCAGCCTGGTCTACAAAGAGAGTTCCAGGATAGCCAGAGTTGTTACACAGAGAAACCCTGTGTCAACACCCCTCCCTCTAAAAAAAAAAAAAAGAAGAAAAGAAAAAGAAAGGAGAGAAAGCATCACTAAAAGGCATCAAGCATCCACCAAGAATTGACTGGGGAAGTCCCTTTAAAGGCAGCCAGCTGGAGTTCCTGAAAGACTCCCAGGGCAGATCGCTGTCCTCTTGATTTCAAGTATAAGAACAAATGGAGCATTGCCAAACTGGGGGCTTGCAGACATCCAGCAGAAACTTTGGGGAAGCTTCTTTAAGGCTGTTGTTCCCAACTGAGCTTTCCATGGATGAGTTTCCCATGCCAAACTTCAGCTTCCGGTTCTGGTACCCTGCAGACACTTTGATATCACGGTATAAATAATAGTAGCCTCTGTTGGAAATGGTTCACTCTCTAGCTGTTCTCAAGGACACGGTGTTGTCCCTGTCACACAGTATGAAGCTGGTGAGTCCATTCCCGATAAGGGGGTTTGGAGGACACTTGACACAAACATGCTTGGACTGAAGGGGATGGGTACCCCTGCTTCCAGAGCTAGCTTCTCACTGAGCTCCAATGGTATGTGACAGTTTACCAATATAATGTACAGTATAGTGGCTCAAATTGTTCTGGTTTGACCACAAGAGGATGCCTTTCGTTCCTTCTTATGTACCTTTACCTTCATCCTTTAGGTTCACTTTTTTTTTTTTTTAAATTATGAGACAAGGTCTCATGTTGCTGTCCTTTCTTAGTGCTAGTATCACAGGCATGTGTCAGTCACTCCTGGCTTTTCTTTTCTTTTTTTTTTTATTTTTTTTGCAGATAGACAACATGTTAGCCAAGCTCTTTGCTATTGCTTAAACACTATACTCTAGCACTGTTTATTTCCTACTCCTTTACACAGAAATGGTTTGTGGTTATTGTTACTGTTTTGTGATAATAATAAATGTCTACTTTTGGAGCTGGAGAGATTGTGCAGTGGTTAAGAGCATTGGCTTTTTTCCCCATAGGATCCAGGTTCAATTCCCAGTACCCACATGGCAGTTCATAACTATATCTCTAGTTCCAGGGGATCTGACACCTTCACACTAATGCACATAAAAAAGTTAAATAAATTATAAAAAAATAAATGTCTACTTCATTGACACAGGATCTGGCTCTGTAGCATAGGCTGACCTTGAACCCTGAGTCCTCCTGCCTCTTACCTACTGGGATTTCAAGTTGTGCTGTAATGTTTGGCTTTTTAAAATGTTTATGCATAAAAGTAGCTATACAATTTTCAATTTTATGATTGTGCCATAATTTACTGAAGGATATATAATACTCTGGAAGTATAGTCATACCAACAAGAGACTGGTGAGCCTTTCAGTTTTGTGCTCTTGTGTTCTTCTACAGTGAATACAAGTGCCAGAATGTGAAACTGTTTTTCCAGAGGGCATGCATTTAGAGCATTTCAGTTGTTTGTCAGGATTCTACTGACTACATTTCCCCAAGCCATCTGACTGCCTTGAGCATTAGTAAATAAACCTCCCCCATCACTTCATTTGCTGCTCGGAGCTTTGTACTAAGTACTTCTTAGAGTTTTCAGTTGAGACGATCTGCTTCTTGGTTTTGAAGTGTGTGCTGCTACTAGACCTTGATTTAGATGTTGTTTTCTAGCTTTTATCTGACATTTTGGTAAACCTTTCTCAAGTCATTAAACATTTATTAATCAGTTATTATATATTTTGTTATTTTGAAATGCTAAGATTAGAAAGATAAAATCCCATGTCCCTGTCTGCATAAAACTCAAATTCTAATCAGAAAACTGACATCTGAACATCATAGACAGCATGACTGAGACTTTGTTCACATTATGTGTACAAAGGGCTGTCTGAGTAAATCCAGAGTGGGGACCCAGGCAGCCCACGGCCTGGACAGTTTGGAGGTTTCACTGAGCTGTGATTGATTGCTAAGAATTGTACAGAGTGAGTGTGTGGCTTACACTTGCCCTTTTAGATACTTGTAAGGCCCACACTCTTGATGACTAAGGTCCAAAGAATGCTGTTTTTTTGTTTTTTGTTTTTGTTTTTTTGAGAAAGGGTTTCTGTTTTTAACAGCTGTGGCTGTCCTAGAACTTACTCTTTAGTCCAGGCTGGCCTCAAACTCACAAAGCTCTTCCTGCTTCTGCCTTCCGAGTGAGTGCTGGGATTAAGGGTGTGTGCCACCACTACCACTAGGCAAGATTGCTATTCTTGAGAGAGAAAATGCTTCAATAAACATTGTCTTTTTTTTTTTCTCATTCATAGGCTGCTGCTGATGAATATAATAGACTAAAGCAAGTTAAAGGAGTAAGTATCTAATTTTAAGGCTCTTTTATTTAATGTTTGTGATGACTATACCATTTATGTATATGTACACTGATTATAGACAAAGGTCCTGTCATTTGCATATGAGCATTATAACTGAGAAGTTGGATCACTAATTTTGTTTGTAGTTGTAGCTTATACTTATTTTCTAAAAACTTTTTTGAGACAGGGTTTCATTGGGTATCTGGCTGGTCTGGAATTCAACTTTATAGACCAGACTGACCTTGTACTCATAGAGATTCACCTGCCTCTGCCTCCCAAGTGCTGGGGTCAAAGGTGTGGTTTACCAAGGCCAGCCCTAAAATCTTTAAAGTTGAAGTGTATCTTCAAGTAAGTGCCTAAGTCATAGTGGGCAGTTGGTAAATTTTCACAAAGTGACTACATACCTGTATACCTGGCACCCAGAAAAAGAAATTTTTTTTTTAATTAAAAAAATTTTTTTTACAAGATTTATTTTTATGTATTCATGCAGACCAGAAGAGGGCACCAGATCAGATCCCATTACAGATGGTTGTGAGCCACCTTGTGGTTGCTCAGAATTGAACTCAGGACATTTGGAAGAGCAGGCAATGCTCTTAAAAACTGAGCCATTCCTCCAGGGCCAAGAAATACATTTTTTAGCGACCTAGTAACTCCCCACTTTTACTCCTTTCCTGTTCTTATACTCCCCAACATCATAGATTAGTTTTGCCTATTTTGTAATAACTTATGTAAAAAGAAACCGTGGACCTGGAGAGATGACTCAGAGGTACTTACTGCTCTGACAGAAGACCAGAGTTACTTCCTAGCACCCAGGTGGTGGCTTGTAACTATAACTCCAGTTCCAGGGGATCTTATGCCTCATATATACTCAAAGGCATAACACACACACACACACACACACACACACACACACACACAAATATGTTTTTGTTGTTGTTATTTTGATTTTGAGACAGGGTTTCTCTGTGTAATAGCTCTAGCTGTCCTAGAACCAGCTCTGTAGACCAGACTGGCTTCTAACTCACAGAGATCCACCTGCCTCTGCCTCCTGAGTGCTGGGATTAAAGGCCTGCTTCACCACCTCTGGCCACCTATTTTAGTGTTTACAATTATTTGACTCCTTAGTTCCTTAGTTTTGGACTTTTACAAATAATACAGCAAGAATGTGCACATGTGTGTGTCTGGGATGTCTGCACTTAGTAATCTGTAGATTCATTGGGCCTGTATGTGTTTGGCTTTGGTAGATTCTGTCTTGAGCCTTCCCAAGTACATATGCTAGTTCACACTGAGCAGTGTAGCCTTCCCTTGCTCTGTCTTTGCTGACACTTGACATTACCAGGCACTGTGGACTTAAAATATTTTTTTTTTGTTTTCAAAAGACTTGATGTTAAAAGTTTTATTGTAGTTACACAGCATAATGATTTTAAGTAAGGTTTTTTTTTTTTTTTGTGGTTGTTGTTGTGTCTGTAGGTGTATTCCTTATTGCTCTTTCCCTTAATTTTTTGAGATAGGGTCCTGGAGCTTACTATTTGCTAGATTGATTGGCCAGGAAGCCCAAGGATCCTCCTGTTCAGTGCTGAGACTACACCTGGCTTTATGTGTGTGCTAGATACTCAGTTATGCTTTGTGCAGTAGGCACTTTGCGCCAAGCCACCTCCTCAGCCCCTTAAATGAATTTTAAAAAGTGTACAGGGGCAGAGGACCTGAGCTTTGTTTCCAGGATCCACACTGGATGGTTCCAGGGGAAATCCAGTGCCCTCTTCTGACCTTCATGGGCAACTGCACTCATGTGTGTACACGCACTCACATACTGATACACACAAATAAAATCTTTAAGATACTATGTAGTAAATATTTCTGTCTCTGAATCTCTGTTTAGTTTTCCTTTCCCTAATTGGCTATTGCCAACAAATTTATTGACAAATTTTTGAAAACTATTTATTTATTGTGTGTGTGTGTGTGTGTGTGTATGTATGTATGTATGTATGTATGTATGTATGTATGTATGTGCTTATGTGCCATGGCACATGTGTGGAGTTCAAAGGATAATTCATAGGAGTTGATTTTCTTTCCACCATGGGGGTTCTGGGAGTTGAACCCAGGTAATCAGGCTCTGCGGCAAGTGCCTTTCTCCTTAGCCATTTTACTGGCCCCCAATTTTTTTTTTAAAGATAATTCATAAGCAAAAAGGTCTGTAGGTTCTCCTGGTGACTTAACACATTTCTAGAAATGAACATATCATTTGTAAAAAATTAGCTTAAAAGCTATTATTGAGGAAAAAGAATCATCTGCCTATGTGGTTAGTGATATTGCCCAACATCTTAAACATACTCATTTAATACTTAGCAGTTAGGGCCAGAGAGATGGCTTAGTGGTTAAGAATACTACTTGGTCTTCCAGAGGTCCTGAGTTCAATTCCCAGCAAGCACATGATGAGTTACAACCATCTATAGTAAGATCTGGTGCCCTCTTTGGTTGTGCAGGGATACATGCAGACAGAACACTGTATACATAATCGATAATTTTTTTTTTTGTTTTTTTGTTTTTCGACACAGGGTTTCTCTGTGTAGCTTTGGAGCCTATCCTGGCACTCACTCTGGTGACCAGGCTGGCCTTGAACTCACAGAGTTCTGCCTGCCTCTGTCTCCCGAGTGCTGGGATTAAAGGCGTACGCCACCAACACAGGGCTTATAGATAAATCTTAAAAGAAAAATTTTTACTCAGCAATTCTTTATGACTAGTATTTTCTTGTTTATTACTTTTTCAGGAGACCTACTTTTTCCTTCTAAAGATTTTTTTTTTATTTTAGAAATAATCTTATTTTACATATCAATCCCCCATTCCCTCGACCTCCTATCCTTCTAAAGTTTTTTACATACAATATATTTTGAGCTTTTCCATTTCTTCCAGCTCCTCTCAGATCCTCTCCACCTGAGTATCCAGCTAACCAACTTCATGTGTTCTCCCTTTCTCTTAAAGAAACATGTAAGAAAGGAACCAGACAAAAAAACCCAATAAGACAAACAAACAAACAAAAACCTAGCAAGACAAAAGTCCACAAGAACAAAAACAAAAACAAAAAACCATGGAGCTTTGTGTTGGTCAGATATTCCTGGGCCATGGGGTCTGCCCTGGAGTGTAGTTGAAATACCCAGTGACCCTTCAGGAGACCTATTATTTAGTTTGTTGCATTCATCGATCCATTTTCTGCCTTTTAGTCTGCAGATTATAAAAGTAAGAGGAATTACTGCAAGCAGTTGAAGAGCAAATTGTCGCACATCAAGAGGATGGTGGGGGACTATGACAAACGGAAGACTTAGGCTGGTGCCACTGTTGAAGAAATGAGGCACGTCTGTCTGCCTGATGTCTCTGCAATTCTCTTCAGAGGCTAAGTGACTTTGGACTCTAATCTGGGAAGTTAAAACTTTGTGATCATGACAAAGTTTCATAGCTTTAATACCATCAGTTTCATATCATCAGTATTGAAACATTTTATAAACGGCTTTTGATAATCCACTGGGCTGAACACTCCAATTAAAAAATTTACACTTTCAGCCAGGCGTTGGTGGCACACGCCTTTAATCCCAGCACTCGGGAGGCAGAGGCAGGCAGAGCTCTGTGAGTTCAAGGCCAGCCTGGTCTTCAGAGCGAGTGCCAGGATAGGCTCCACTACAATACAGAGAAACCCTGTCTCAAAAAACAAAACAAAAACAACACAATAAAAATTTACACTTTCAACATTGATTTTTGTAATTAAGAATGAAATGTTGTTTAAGGTCTAAATTTAAAGACAGGTCCTAGTGTGGACTGTGTTGTGAATTTTCACATGCCAGACAGTGATGTCTTAATACCCAAGTGTGTTCCTCCAGGTGGAGGCCATCTCATTAATCATCTCAACAGCCCTTCAGGTGACTGTTATTTATGATCACTTTTCAGGTGAGGAAGTTGGGTCCCTGCTGTGGTATCTCCACAGTGAAATTGCTTGCTTTCCAAAGGTAGTTTTGGCTAAGTCTGTTTTATGACTGCAAATGAGCAAATAGTAGCATATCCCTCCCCTTTTGTATTTCCACTACTGTGTACAGTACATTCTGTCGGTCACCTTCCCTACTGGTATTTTTCTTATATTGACTTTAACATAAATGATTGGGATTATTTTGGCTTCACATTTTTTCCTAATACTTAAAATCCTGTAAAATTAACAAATGTGTGAAATTTAAAACTTGTAAATATATATTCACTTTTGAAAGATCATTTTAAATCCAGGGCTAGAGTTTTGTGTATTTGTATCTTTGATAGTTTACTTTTTTTTAAGTTTTTTTTTTTTTTTTTTTTTTTTTTTTTTTTTGGTAACCCACTAGATCTTTTCAATGTATCAGAGTATCCAATTACATTTATAATTATTACTTGAATTGTATTTCACAGGAATGTTCAAGTTCTGTACATATTTTGTAAGGTATTAAACCTAGTGTTCTCATTTGTGTGTTTGTTCGATGTTATTAGTGTTGTTATAGTCAGCTGTGCGAAACTATACTCAAGCGTTTCCTTTGTGTGTACCATCTTAGCTTCTGTGCTACTTAGTAATTCCTCATTTTTGGGCAGTGAAAAACTCATCTGGAAATGGAATAATGTTCATAGAACATCTCTGTCGATAAATCTCATGATGTTCTTTAAAAATTAAAGTTCTTGTTAGTGGCATGAAGTTAATTGGTAATACTGTATAAACCAAATTGATTGTGTACATCCAGCCCAGTTTGGTCTATTGTTTTAAAAAATGTCTTATATACATACCTTCTAAGTATGTGTTTTATGTATACAATTTTGAATTATTTTCCAAAGATAAACTTTTTTTTTTCTTCCGAGACAGGGTTTCCCTGTGGCTTTGTAGGCTGTCCTGGAACTAGCTCTTGTAGACCAGGCTGGTCTCAAACTCACACCTGCCTCTGCCTCTCCCGAGTGCTGGGATTAAAGGTGTGTGCCACCTACGCCCGGCCAAAGATAAACTTTTAAATAATGTTTTTGTGCAACCCTGGTTCAATTTTTTCAAATTGAAGAAAGATTTTACTTTCTGTATGTTAAACAAAATACAAAAAGTATTTTCATCGCTTTGGGATTGACACTTAGTAGAAAGGGCTGCAGGGCCACCTTCCCTGGCTTTATGGTAACTCTTTGTTCTTGGAAATCACTGTACTTTTGTGTTTTATTTTAGACAGATTTCACCAGGTAGTTCAAGCTAGCCTTGAACTAACAATTAGTTCAGCTCGTCTTCAGCTCTTCAGGCCTCTGGCTTCCAACTCCCAGGTGCTGGGATTACAGTTCTGCTCTATGTCTGGCTTGTACTTAGTTTATGAAGCCAATTTGGTGTCCTCATAAAGAAACCAGTTTGGTTGAATAAAGAAAATGAAGTGGCAGGAATTATAAAACTGTGCCACAAAATTAGATGGTGGAATAAGAGAAAGAATTCTTTTACAGTGTGGTGCTACCACTGCAGGCCTGAAGCCAGTAACAGGATGTGTCTGTTGGTGCTTGTATTAACTAGCTGGATCTCACGTAGCGAATCCACTTAGGCAGTTTCATAACATATAATGGGGTTAGATTAAACTTAGAGGTTCCTTATACGTGCTGACCCATGGTTCTCATACCTGCTTTCTGCTAATAAACTGTTCTGGGGGATAGTTTGTGAAAACATAACCCTTCTTATAAAAGTTCCCTGGATAAAGTGATGCCTAATGTGTGTAATTTTATTTTAAAATGAAAAGTATGTAGAAGAAATGTTTTCCATTTGAAAAACTGAAAAATTAGTAAAGACATACATGAACTCAGTACCCCGAAAGAAGAGGTAATACTGTTTCGTTTGTCTGTTGGTTTGTTTCTGAGACAGTTTCTCTGTATAACAGCCATGGCTGTCCTGGAACTTGATCTGTACACCAGACTGGCCTAGAACTCACAGAGATCGGCCTGCCTCTGCCTCGGGAGTACTGGAATTAAAGGCATGCGCCGCCACTGACTCGCAATAATGTTTTGTTATATGTACTTTATATTTTTGAAATAAAGTCTAGTATTTACAATAAATAATAGTCTAGTATTTGTAGTTAAAATTGTATATACAGACATACAGGATATCTCATTTAATTATCATAACAGTCTTTTGGCATGCAGGTGTTCCTTATTATTTTATGGACAAGGAAGTTAGTAATTTGACACATTAACGGGCTGAGTCACATACTAGTGTGCATAGAACTGAAGGTGGAATCTTGATCCTGTGGACTAGTAAATTCTATCAATCCTAGATTGACTGCTAAGTCAATTGATGCATTGTGTAATATAGGGCTGCTCTGCCCAGGGTATATGAAGTATCTTTTAGTTTTGAATGAACTTGAAGCAAATGCTTTGTCTGAAATCTGCAGAGTCTGTTAGGACCTGAATGGGTCAAGAATAGTCAGGGTAGAAGCCTGCTTTCCCAACCGACTGTGGGACTCTGGTCAAAGTTTTATCTGGGGAAGCCAGAATTAGGATTTATACGTGATCTCCTGGCTGATTCCACTGCCCTATAATCGCTTATCTGAAAGATAAATTAACTAGGCAGAGCTTATTTATTTACTGAGCGATAAGGTCTCACTTTGTACCTCAGGCCGGCCTTGTACTTGTCATCCTCCTTTCTAACCCTCCCAAGTGGTAGGAAGGATTTCAGGTGTGAGCCACCATACTCAAGTGTTTTATATTAGCATTTCTCATAGTGGGAAGAAATGAGCAAATTAAGTAAATTGGGGTAGTTTTTAGAAAATACTGTGCTAGAAAATTGTAATACTGATTCTTGGGAGCCAAGGGAAGTAATTAATATATATAGACAGGATATTTTTATGTGCTGTAACAAGATCCTCCTATCCCTGTTGCTACAAGACCTGCTCACTGCTATATCCTGTGGATGTTGTCTCATTCTGGATGTGCTCTATCCAGCAAATTGCTTAACTCTCCTATACCTCAGACTCTTGGTATCTCTAAAAGATACCTGAGAACCAGGAATGTTTATGTACTCCTATAATCCTGTCACTTGCTGAGGCAGGAGGATTACTTTGAGTTTGAGGCCAGCCTGGATTACATGATGAAACTGTAAACATGGGATGGGGTGAGAATTACTGGAGCAATGGCTCAGCGGTTATGAGCACTTTCTTATCTTCCAGAGGACCTAGGTTTGATTCTCAGCACCCATAAAGGGTGGTTCTTAACTGCCTGTAACTAGCTCTTCTGGCCTCTGCTGGCTCTGTGCTTATGCACACAAACCGACACACAGAAACATACCTATAGTTTTTTTTTTAAGATTTTATTTATTATGTATACAATATTCTGCTTCCATGTATATCTGCACACTAGAAGAGGGCACCAGATCTCATAGGGGATGGTTGTGACCCACCATGTGGTTGCTGGGAATTGAACTCAGGACCTCTGGAAGAGCAGTCAGTGCTCTTAACCTCTGAGCCATCTCTTCAGTCCCGATACCTATAGTTAATAAAAAAAAATTCTAAATTCTAAATGGTGTTAAAGAGTTAGAGATACGCCGGGCATTGGTGGTGCACACCTTTAATCCCAGCACTCGGGAGGTAGAGGCAGATGGATCTCTGAGTTCGAGGCCAGCCTGGTCTGTGGACTCATGGTGCCACTGCATGCTTTTGGTGGTCAGAGGACAACCTACAGGAGTTGTTGGTTTTTTTTTTTTGTCCACTGTGTGGGTCTTAGGGACCAAACTCAGGTTTGTCAAGCTTGACAGTAAGCACATTTGCCTGCTGAGCTAAACCTCCTGCTCACAAAAATGTGTTTTGAAAATATGTGTGTGGGGCTGGAGAGATGGTTTAATGATTAAGAGCACTGGCTGCTCTTCCAGAGGACCCAGGTTCAATTCCCAGCAACCACATGCCTTCTCACAACTGTCTGTAACTCCAGTTCCAGGGTATCTGACACCTTAACACAGACATACATGGCATGCAAAACACCAATGCACATAAAATAAAAAAAATTAAAAAGTATATGTGTAGGGGGCCAATGAGATGGTTCAAAAGATAAAGACAGTAGGGTTATTATAGCAGAGCCTTTATGTACCTTGCAAATTGCTGTGCTTGTGTGTGAGTGTGTTTGTCTGTGTTGGGGGTGGGGTGCTGGGGATGAAACCAGGTCACACATGTTTATATCCTAGGCATAGAAGTTTAAGGTGAGCCGGGTGGTGGTGATACATGCCTTTAATCCCAGCACTTGGGAGGCAGAGGCAGGTGGATCTCAGTGAATTTGAGGCCCGTCTGGTTATAAAGTGAGTTCCAGTGACAGCCAGGACTGTTATAAAGAGAAACACTGTCTTGAAAAAAAGCAAAAAAAAAAAAAAAAAATTAAGGTGAATTGTTTTTGCTATAATCATTTAATTTCTACTTAAAGGTGTTGGGATGGGGGCTGGAGAGATGGTTCAGTGGTCAAGAGCAGGAGTGTCTAGAGGTCCTGAGTTTAATTCCCAGCACCTATATAGTGGCTCACAATCATCTATAAGGGGATCTGATGCCCTCTTCTGGCATAAAGATGTACATGCAGATAGATCCCTCACATACATAAATAAATCTTTTTAATCTCAGTACCCAGGAAGGCAGAGGCGGTGAACTTTGTGAGTTTGAGGCCCATCTACAGAGCCAGTTCCAGTACATCCGGTGCTATGCAGAGAAATCCTGTCTCAAAACCACCTCCCCGCCAAAAAATTGTTGGAAAGGTTCACTTCTCACAGTCTTTCAAGCTAAAACACTTTTTGTATTTCAGTTACGTCCCACTAGCCAAGCTATTCACAAATTTCTAACTGCACTGTGTCCAGTTGTCCATGGGCAGACAACATATATTCTATGTTTGTTTATTTATTTTTGAGACAAGGACTTAGGATGTAGCCCAGGCCAATCTTGACCTTGTAATCCTCCTGCCTCAACCTGCCTAGTTCTGGCATAATAGGTATGTTTCACAACATCCCGCTCTTATTCAATTCTTTACAGTTGTTCTTAGTTTTACAGCCTGAAAAAGTATTTCCCTAGGTAAGATAATTTTATTGTTATCTTGTATGTGGTTGGAATAAAGTAATACTAGAAGCACCATGGATTTGTGAACATTTTGTTTTGCTTTAGCCCCTTTTTTGTTGTTTTGTTTTTCATGACATAATTTCTCTGTGTAATAAACCTGGCTGTCCTGAAACTTAGTTTGTGGAACAGGCTAGCCCTGAACTCGTAGAGATCTACCTGCTTCTGCCTCCTGAGCATTGGGATTAAAGGGGTACGCAACTCACCTGACTGCTTTTAATACCCTTGTTAATGTAGTTTTAGTGCAAAACAGTGGAGTTCCAGAAGACTATGTTTGGCCACCTGTCTCAGTTTGCTGAAGAGACGAGTAATGATGAATGGCAGAGAAAGATTTTTATTTTTTAAATTATTTTTATTTTATTTGTATTGGTGTTTTGCCTGCATGTATGTCTGTGTGAGGTGTCAAGATCTTGGAGTTATAAGACAGTTGTTAGCTGCTATGTGGGTGCTGGGAATTGAATTTGGGTCTTCTAGAAGAGCAGGCAGTGCTCTTAAAACACTGAACCATCTCTCCAGCCATCTCTCTGAGAAAGATTTTTATTAAGGTGGCCATGATGGGAAAAATAGATAAAGAGGTTTGCTGATACCCAGTCTGTCTTCAGGGGACTGAGAGGGACTTTGAGATTTCATAGAAAAGAGGAGTGGGAGAGGCTTGTGGTTTGCATAGGTGACAGAGCAGGTGATCTGGGTCAGGGCATGTGTCTGATTGCTTATGCCACTTCAGTTCTGGTTCCAGAGAACTTATTATTGATGTCATCACTGTGAGGCAGTCTGTTTACCATGAGGTGATTGCACCGGTGCCAGCACTGCAACCTCACATCATAGGTAATTGCTCTCAGCTGGAAGGTAATCTGTCCTGCCAGGCTTGCTCTTGGGAGTAGTTTTGGTTCCTTGTCATAAAGATGTTTACGGATTAGACTTGTCATTCCTGGAATCCAAGACAACTGCAGAAAGGAGTGAGTTAGCAGGAAAAATGTTAAGAAATGAAAGAGAAAGGAGTCAGAGAGGGCATATGGTCAGTGACTGGTGCCCTTCATCTTCCTACATTAGTCTTAAAACACCTTTCTAAAATTAATAGAGGGCCAAAGTTAAACAGAGCTAAAGTTATGACTGGGAAAAATATGAATGTGACTTCACAAATATGCTTGAAATGTATTTTAAATTTATTGGGGGAAATCCTATTTTTGGTTTAAGGCGCGCTCGAGGTGTCTGTGCATGCGTGCGTGCGTGCGTGCGTGTGTGTGTGTGCGCGTGCGTGTGTCAGCGGACGGGGCTGAAGAGATGGCTCAGCGGTCAAAAGCACCTGTTGCTCTTCCAGAGAGTCCGGATTTGATTCCCATCATTCACATGACAGATAACAAACATCTGTAACTTCAGTTCCACGGGATCCGATGCCATATTCTGTACCCCGTCCCAACTAGGCACGCACATAATGCACAGACAAGCATGCAGGCAAAAACACCCATACACATAAAATAAAATTTAAAAACAGAGTCCACAAGTCGGTGTATAACACATCCGGAACTTGTCGTTTTAGCTCTTTGGCCTGCGGAAATGCAACCCACAGTAGAAATCTTGGACTCATCACTAATTGGTTTTTTATCCACAAGTTCAGCTGCCCCCCACGCTCACTCTGGCCGTCCTTCAGCCTCACCAATATGCTTCTGCCTCTGAGACTGCACGCCGCTTCCTTTATCCGTAGAGCTTTCCCCCATCGGCCGGCATGGTTGAACGTTCCTGTACTGGGTGATTTCTCAGCCGTCTTCTCTCTGGAAGACTCTCCTAGCGGTGTTTTCCCAGAGCCGGCCTCCCGAAGGCACAGCAAGCTCGTGGGCGCCACCGCTCCCCAGCTCCCCCCTCTGGCAGTCACTGCCCGCAGCCGGCGGAACGTTTTATGCTTGGCCCCAGGGCGCTGAGGACGGATTTTAGCGGCGTTCTCTGCTTGACGGCACTTCCGGTGAGGGTCGTCTCATCTATTCCCGGGAGTCCACGGCTGGAGGCCTGCGCGGCACCGAGGTTTTGGAGGCTGGAGTGAGAGGCGGACAGGAGGGACCCGGAGGAGAGACGGAGGTGCAATGCCCGGGCTGGCTTCGGGGGACCTGGAAGGCGGAGGGAGGGCGTGTGCTGGGCGACGCGCAGCTTCCGCTCGCCGAGCCGGGCTGCAGGCTGGGGAAGGGTCTCGCTGCCTGGGCTCTGGTTTGCCTCGTACCTCTGGCTGTGTGACCTGGAGTGAACGTCCAGCACCAGAGCTGTCCATTTCCGAGAAACACGGACAGCAATCACCCTTGTCAGTCTTCCTCGTGCCAGCCAGGGTAAACTGAGGCAGAGCCTCGCCAATTGCCATGCGCGCTGCGGCTGTCGTGTTTGGTGGTAGCATCCCTAGCTCTTTCCACAGCAAACACGCCGTGGATTTACTTCTAGCTTCTCGGCGGGTAGATAGATGGGTGCAATGGCTAAGATTCTAGGAAGTGGATCCATGTTACGCTGTTTGGGAAGCTTTAACTCATTCCCTGTCAGATTCCACATTATAGGCAATTTTAATTAAGATGACCCCCCCCTTTTCTCCCCCCCGAGACAGCATTTCTCTGTGTAGAGCTCTGGCTGTCATGGAATTGGCTCTGTAGACCAGGCTGGCCTCGAACTCACAGAGATCCACCTGCCTCTGCCTCCCAAGTGCTAGGATTAAAGGTGTACGCCACCACCTCCCGACTGTAAGATGCCCTTTTAAGAACCAAAATTTGTACAGTTGGATTTTATTTTCTCTGAACTTTCAGAGAATATAAGAGTAAAATACAAAGTATTTTTGATGTGGTGGAACCACATTTTAAAAGCTTAGAAGCAATATTATACGAAGTGTGTGTGCACTCGCTCCCACTTGTCTTGGGGTCACCGGCATACTCCGCCAAGCCCATCTCGAGCAAAATTTTGGCATGTGAATGTCCCCTTATTTATGACTTGAGTACACTCATCAGATCGATGGCACCAAGATAGTTACAATATTGAAATAGCTCATGTTGTAAAATACGGTCAGTTTTAGTTTTTCAAGATATCAAGGCCCTTAAATTGAGATAGAGGGAGGTTACATGAAAATAAAAGACAGGCATCTCCAGAAGTGGGATTGCTCTTTAATCAGAGCAACAGAAGGGCCACAGTGTCTTTGTGGAAGTGGGGACTGTGCTATGGCAACTTGGGCTTGTGTGTTTGGGCTTGAGAGGGGAAGGATATATCGGGGAGAAACTGGGTGGATCATTTTCTGGCCTTAGTTCTGCTCCTTCGGTTTCAGATGGGAACTGTCGGTGCTGGCAGTTATTCTTGGGCATAGGGGTTTCTGAGCAAGCATTTGCCAGACTGAGATATTTTTACCCTCTACAGGCAAATTGTCAGTTTTTCTGAGACAAATGAATCTCTGACAGAGATAGTAAGAGACTTATAAATTCTGTGGGAAATAAAAGAATTTAGTGATATTGGATTGTGGCAGGTTTAATAAAAAAGCCTCATTTGAAGTAGTCTCCAATTCTTTGACTTGTCAATAGATTTTAAATCCCAGAAGTCCATGTATATTCTATTCTTTAGTAAACAATTTTTTGGTTGTGTGTTTTGGTTTTCTGAGACAGAGTCAACTCTGTATGTTACACATTGTCTTCAGCATAGAGCTGGGCACACACCTTTAATCCCAGCACCTGAGAGGCAAGAGGCAGGCAGATTTCTGTGAGTTTGAGGCTGGCCTGGTGTACATACCGAGTTCCAGGCTAGCAGGACTATATACAGAGACCCCGTTTCAACAAAACAAAATAGAGGCCATCCTGCTTCTGTCTCCTGAATGTGGATTATCTCATTCAGTTCAGTTCTGTAGATTAAAAAAAAGTTTCCAAGCCAAGTGCTCATACCTGTAACCTCAGCACTTGGGAGGCTAAATGAGTTCCCACCCAGTAGGCCTACATAGTGAGATCTTTAAACATTTACATTACCATGACACTCCTGCCATATATATGTGTCTTCTGTTTTTCGGGAATATGTGTTGTGTGTGTATGGTTTATTTGTGTGTACCCTAGAAATTGATGTCTCGTGTCTTCTTGCATTTTCCACCTATTTTGAGATAGGGTCTCATACTGAACCTGGAGCATATTGGTTGGCTTGACTCGCTGGCCATCAAGTTCTCCCCTTCCCCGAATCTTGCCTCTGTCTTCTAGGGCTGGGATTACAGGTGTATCTGGGTGTGAGTGCTAGGGATAAGAATTCAGTCTTCATGTCTGCAGGGACCCTCGACCCCTTGAACACAGGGTGTCCTTGAACTCACAGATACCCACCTGCTTCTGTCTTCCAAGGTCTGGGATAAAAAGAGTTTACCACTGTCTGACCCTAACCTTGAATTTTGATCCTCCTGTCTTCACTGAGTGCTGGGTACAAGCCTGTGCCACCTTTCTCAAACTGAGGGTTTTGTGTGTACTGGACAGCATTCTCTCAACAGAGCCACATCCCTAGCCCATTTTTTCTCTTTTCTATAGAAACAATTATCAAAGGAGGATAAAGCATACCTGGGCAGAGGTGTTGCCAGCCTGGTCTACAGAGAGAGTTCCAGGACAACCTCCAAGCAATACAGAGAAAAAAACAAAAAAAAAAAAAAAAAAAAAAAAAGAAAGAAAGAAAGAAAAAAGTATTGCTTATAGCGTATAGTCCTCATTACCAAAAAAAAAAAACCAAACAAAAAACCTTTCATGTGTAGCCGTCCTTGTGGTGTCGTGTCCCCCCACACACCTCCACCCCCCCACTGTTAGAAGATAGGCTTTTGTCCTTAGTGTCTTGGCATTTAAGAGTCCTTATGGGCATGTGGTTGGGAGGGAGACCACTCCCCCCAGTCTTATGTCAAGTTTTCACCCTCCCTTTTTATTTGAGATAGACTCACTTTGTAGCACTGGCCTGGAGCACACAGTGTAGACCACACTGGACTCTGATCTGCTGCTGTGCTCCAGTTTTGTCTTAAATTATTAAAGAAGTAAATGTAATATGAATACATATGATAATTAAAATGCAGAAAACTCCAACTAATCTTAATTCTATAATGCAGATAGATTTTTTCCTTACTAGTTAAGGTCATATTCCATATGTAATTTTGTGTCTTGTTGAATTATGAACTATAGCATTTACCTATTCATAAATAATAAATTTCTTTTTTCTTTTTTTTTTTTAATTATTTATTATGTATACAGTGTTCTGTCTGCATGTATCCCTGCACACCCGAAGAGGGCAGCAGATCTCATTACAGATGGTTGTAAGCCATCATGTGGTTGCTGGGAGTTGAACTCAAGACCTCTGGAAGACCATCAAGTGTTCTTAGTCACTGAGCCATCTCTCCAGCACACCCCCCCCCCTTTTTTTGGTTTTTCGAGACAGGGTTTCTCTGTGTAGCCCTGGCTGATTAGGAACTTGATCTGTAAACTAGGCTGGCCTTGAACTTTCAGAGATCTGTCTGCCTCCTGAGAGCTGGGATTAAAGGCGTGTGCTACCCCCAACTGACTGATATTTAATTTTTTTATTTTAATAATATATTAATAACATATTCAATCCCAGTTCTCTCTCCCTCCCAACTTCTCATGCCCCCCCTCCAATGAATCATCAAAGTCTGTCACATCATTTGGAGGAGGGCCCAGGTCCTCCTCTGTGTGTCTGGGCTGAGAGAGTATCCCTCCATGGGGAATGGACTCCCAAAGTCCATATGTGCACAAGGGATAAATATTCGTTCCATAGACTGCCCAGGCATCCTAACTGGTACCCACATTCAGAGGGCTTGGTTTGGTCCAATGCTGGTTCCCCAGCTTTACGACTAGGGTTCATGTGCTCTCGCTTGGTCAATTCAGCTATTTCTGTGGGTTTCCCCTGCATGGTCTTGACTCTTTGGCTTATCATTCCTCCCTCTCTACAACTGGATTCCAGGAGTTCATTTCAGTGCTTAGATGTGAATCTCTGTTTCTGCTTCCATCAGCTACTGGATGAAGGCTCTAGGATGGCATTTAAGGTAGCCATCAATCTCATTATAAGGGAAGGGCATTTAAGGTAGCCTCTCAACTATTGCTTAGATTCTTAGTTGGGGTCATCCTTGTGGATCTCTGGACATTTCCCTAGTGCCACATTTGTCTTTAAATCTATAATGGCTCTTCTATTAAGGTATCTCTTATCTTGCTCTTCTCTATTCTTCCCCTGACTCAAGTCTTCCAGATCCCTCATGTTCTCCTCCCCACTTCTCTACTCCCCACTCTTTTTCCTACCTCCCCCCCAATAAATTTCATTAAAAAAAATGTGATCATGAGAAAATTCAGTCTTACACAAAGGAGAGAAAGAACAATGAATTGCTTTTTATTAGTCACTCAGCTATAATTGTTGGTTATAGTTAACCTCATACTTATTTTTCAGAATTCTTTTTTTTTTTTTTTTTTTTTTTCCTGAGCCTTGGTTTCTCTGTGTAGCTTTGGAGCCTATCCTGGCACTCGCTCTGGAGACCAGGCTGGCCTCGAACTCACAGATATCTGCTTGCCTCTGCCCCCTCCCCCCACCAGTGCTGGGATTAAAGGCGTGTACCACCAATGCCCGGCAATTTCTCAGAATTCTTGTCCAGTGACATGTCCATGGAACAAGTTTCAAAAATGTTTCAGGTTTGAAATATTCATATTATTTATTGGAAATAGAAAAAATAGTTTCATGACAATTTTGTATTTTCACAGAATTACTGAATAAAATACTAGAATAAAATGTATTCTGATATTCTGATGTAAACTTTGTCCTTAACTATCAAGTAATTAGATTCATTTTGTAATAACCATCTTTAGAAAATTTGTGATCCAATGGTTTTTTACAGTGTTGAATAAGTATATATCAATATAAAAAACATGGATGAAGAACCTGAAAGAACTAAGCGGTGGGAAGGAGGCTACGAGAGAACATGGTATGTAGAGTGTAATTGTCCCATGTTGTAGACATTGTATCTTTTCTTTTTAATTTCAGTTTTACTAAAGTGTTTTATATATGTTAAAATTCATACACCTAAATGTATAATCGAGTGAATTTTTGAAGACTATTTACTGTTTTGTATAGCTTTTGCCATAAACTACTTTTAGAACATTTTGATTATAACAGTAAGTTCCTTCATACTCATTCTGTTTCTACCACCTGTAGACAGCTATGAATCCATGATCTATAGATTTACCTTTCTTGTACATTTTATGTAAGTTTCAAGGCTCATTCATGTATATGTTTCTTTGTAATTGCTGGATAGTGTCTCATATACTGTTATGCTGCATTTTTGTTAATTCATTCAGCATTTGATGGACATTTAGATCAGTTCCAATTTTTGGCTATTGTGGATTGTGTTGCTACAAACACATATATACAAATCTTTGCACATTCTAATTTTTTATTGGGTTAGTGTTTTTAGCTTATCTTTTCAAACAAATAAATATTGCCTACAGGGAAATTCTTAAAGAAGATGAAACTGGATCACTTAAGGCTACGATAGAGGATATTCTTTTTAAGGCAAAGAGAAAAAGGTATGAAATGCTTCTATGAAAGATTTACAAAAGGAAAATATATTCTTGAAGCCTTTTTCCTGCTCTAGCCATCGTTAGCACTTCCTTTTAACTGTTTAGTAGGGAAGCTCATCCATAATTGTCTGGCTCGGGGTAAAGAACTAGCAACTAGCCCTGCCCCCCAGTAAGGTGGTGTTCAGAGACTGTCCATGTATATTCCAGAAGTTACTAATTTACTAAAAAAATTTAGAGTATTGTTTTACTGAGTTTTTGGTAGCATACGTTGTTGAAATAAAATGTTTTTTATAATTTTAACAGAGTGTTTGAGCACCATGGACAAGTCCGACTTGGAATGGTATGTTATGATTTTTTTCTTTGACTTGTGCAGAACTAGTTTGGATCAGAGGAGTATTCTGCCTTGAAAGAATAAATGGTAAAATAACTACTTTTTAAAAGAATTTAAAAGTATTTAAAATGTATGTATAGGATATTTGAATATTAAAAGATATTTCTTCTAAGAAATGTACTTGAAAATCTTGTCTCTCATTTGTTTTTGATAGATGCGCCACCTTTATGTGGTAGTAGATGGTTCCAGAACAATGGAGGATCAAGACTTAAAGCCCAATAGGCTGACTTGTACTTTAAAGGTATAGTAAAATCATTTAAATCTGGGCTAAATAAGCACACACACACACACACACACACACACACACACACACACTCTCTTCTTTAAGAATGTAGGAAATTTTGTTTTGTTTTTCCAGCTAATAACAAATCTTTAAAAATAGAAATGCTGCCAGATCATTTTATGAAGTGATTTTTTTATTCCAAGAACTAGTTTATAAATATGTTATAAATTAATTCTCCAACAGTAATTTTTAAAAATTATTTATTTTATGTGCATTGGTGTTTTGTCTGCATGTATTTGGGTGTCAGATCCTCAAACTGGGCTTATAGTGGGTGCTGGGAATTGAACCCAGGTCCTCTGGAAGAGCCGCCAGTGTTCTTAACCACTGAGCCATCTCTGCAGCCCAATATTTTTTTTTTTTTTTTTTTACACAAGGAAATGGGCCAGCAAGATGGGTCCATGGGTAAGGTGTTTGTTATACAAGACTGACAACCAGAGTTCCATTAGTTATTCTTCCAGAAGACCCAGGCTCAATTTCCAGCACCAATATGGCAGTTCATAACTGGCCATAACTTCCCATTTCAGGGAATCCAACATCCTTTTTTGGCCTCTACAGGCACCAGGCATGTAGGTGATGCACAGATGTATACATGTAGGCAAAACATCCATGTACATAAACTAAAATAAATAAAAATATAAAAATTAAAAATGGTGGAAGGAGAAAACTAACTCTAGAAAGTTGTCCTCTGACCTCCACAAGTGCACTGTGGTGCATGTTCTGTCTCTTTGTCTCTGTCTCTGTCTCTGTTTCCCCCCCCCTCTCTCTCTCTCTCTCTCACACACACACACACACACCATAATAAAAAAAAATCTACTTTGCTTAAAAAGACTTGGAACCTGGAGGCAGTAGTGGCTCATGCCTTTAATCTTTAATAAAGGTGGCAGATCGCTGAGTTCGAGGCCAGTCTGGTCTATAGAGTGAGTGCCAGGACAGCCAGGGCTACACAGAGAAACCCTGTCTTGAGGGGAAAAAAAAAGACTTGAAGCTGTGAAATAGTGGCACATACTTTAATCCCAGCACTCAGGTGGCAGAGGCAGGTGGATCTTGAGTTCAAGGACAGCCTGGTCTACAGAGCTAGTTCCAGGACAGACAGAGCTATACAGAGAGACCCTGTCTGGAAAAACAAACAAACAAAAAACAATCAAAAACAAAAGAGAGAGAAAGGAAAGAAAGCAAAAAAAGACTTGAATAAGTCATTGCTTTTGGTTTATTTTTTCCCTAAATCAGTGAATCAGTGGTTCTCAACCTTCCTAATGGTCTTAGGTGACCCCTGTGAAAGGGTTATTCTCCCCCAAAGGGGTCTCGACCCTCAGATTGAAAACTGCTGTTTTTAGGCTAATTATCCCCTGCTGCCCTAACTGATTATCATTCTCCTTTGGTTTTTGGAGACAGGGTTTCTCTGTGTAGCTTTGGAGCCTATCCTGGCAGTCACTCTGGAGACCAGGCTGGCCTCGAACTCACAGAGCTCTGCCTGCTTCTGGCAGGCTTCTGGAGAGTGCTGGGATTAAAGGCGTGTGCCACCAATGCCCAGCCCATATTCTAACTTATTTATTCATTTTTTTCCAGACAGAGTTTCTGTGTGGTCCTGTCCTGTCTTAGAACTAACTCTGTAGAACAGACCCAGAGATCTGCCTGCCTCTGTCTCCAGAGTGCTGGGACTAAAGTTGTGTGCTACCACACCTTGCTAATATTTTAATTTGTTAGTGCCTGTTCTTAATTCTTCTCTTACCTCTCTCTTCCTTGGATCTTTTCCTCATTTACATTGTTTTAGACCAAGTCCAAGTGGATCCATCTTTTTATGGTTTTGAATTTCAAGATCAGATCTTGCTGTGTTTCTTCAGCTGACCTCAAACTCCTTACCTTTGGAAGCCTTGCTTCCAGTGTAGCTGGGACAGCAGGCACCTGGCACTGCTTGGCATAGTTTCATCTTTAAACTGAGTGGTGTCTGTCTTATTACCTATATTACATGTAGATTTTCATTGTATTTTTACAAGTAAACATTTTCAAAATGTGTCTAAAATTTATGACAAGCTGAGAGGGTTGGTGTTACATTCCTGAATCCCAGCACCCAGGAGACAGAGGAGCACCACACAAAGCTCAGTGTCAGCCTGGTCTATGTGGAGGCTGGCCAGGGCTGCACAGTGAGAGTGAGTGGAGGCTAGCCAGGGCTGCACAGTGAGAGTGAGTGGAGGCTAGCCAGGGCTGCACAGTGAGAGTGAGTGGAGGCTAGCCAGGGCTGCACAGTGAGAATGAGTGCAGGCTAGCCAGGGCTGCACAGTGAGAGTGAGTGCAGGCTAGCCAGGGGTACACAGTGAGAGGACACTGTCTCACTGACACTCTCGTTTCCCCCAAAAGTCATGAAGTACTACTTAATAAATAGATTCTACAGAACATTGACATGTTTATTGTTGCTGCTTTGCCTTTATATAATACTTCCTTTTAATTTTCTTTCAACAGTTGTTGGAATACTTTGTAGAAGAATATTTTGATCAAAATCCTATCAGTCAGGTAAGTAGATAATGGTAGAATTCAGAACTAGATTCCCATTTTGCTGCCAAATATAGTTTATTTTTTAAAAAAGACATATTTTTGTGAAGCATTGAGGAAACCAAATTATATACCTATATTTGGTATGCTTAATGGTGTTGAGCAAAATAACTCTAAAAGTTAAACATATACTGTGTTTTAATAATGTATATATAGTCATTTCATAGCTAGATTTGTCAAAAACACCATGAGAAAAAATTTCATGTATGTTCCTAATTTACAGTTACTAATTGATAGTCCATGTATTTTTTTAATGAAGAGGAAATAGTTTGTTATATTAAAGTAATTTTTTTTTTGTTTTCATTTTGAGATTGGAATAATTGTGACTAAGAGTAAAAGAGCTGAAAAACTGACTGAACTTTCAGGTATGCATAAAAGTATCTTTACAAGGCTCGATGACTTTGCTTACCTAACTGTAATCTTGCCCATGTGACTCCTGATAAGTAAAGTGAAACTTTCCTCTATGCATTTTAGGTGAATAACTTACTGTCTTTCTGTTGAACTCTTGGGGCCTACTATTAATTGTTTCAAATTGAGTTCTGAAGCATTGGATGTATTGCATTGGAAGTAAATATGTTTATTTAAATACATATTCTTATTCTGAAAATAAGATAGCCTAATTGTTAACTATTCATAAAATTCACATAATTCTCAAATTTAAAAAATGTATAATTTAAAAAGTATAAAAGTTGAATTGGGCTATTTATAAATGGCTATAGAAATGGCTCAGAGGTTAAGAGCACTGGCTGCTCTTCCAGAGGTCCTGAGTTCAATTCCTAGCAACCACATGGTGGCTTACAAACATCCATTATGAGATCTGGTGCCCTCTTCTGGTGTGTAGAAAAACATGGAAGTAGAATGTTGTATACATAAAAAAAAAAAAAAAAACTAAAAAAAAAAAAAAAGAAAGAAATGGCTTAGAGCACTTGTTCATGCAGAGGATCTGAGTTTAGTTCTCAGCACTTACATGGGGACTCAAACTGTCTGTTACTCTAGTTCCAGGGGATCTGACACCCTTTTCTGACCATATACATGCAGGCAGAACTGTCATACACATAAGTTAATGGCAGTTTCTTTTGCCTTTATTATATATGCTGTTACAAATTTACATCATTATTTTTTGTAAAATATACTATTCCTTAAGTTAGATTCTTAATCTTTTCTATTAGTACACATAAGGGAAATGACATATTTTGTTCATTAATAGTTCTTACTCTAGCCATAAGGAATCAAATATACATTTGCCAAAAGTGTGCCAGGAAATCAGTTGACTACAGTCTCCACTAATTAGTTTTAGGGAATGTTAGGGATGTAGCTTAATAATAAGGCCCTGGGTTTGATTACCAGTACCATAGGAAACAAAACCAGGGATGGTAATGGGGAAAGTGAATAGAGAACCAGGAGATGTAGGTTTGGGTGTTGGTACTCCGACCATTAGGTAGGTCTGTGTCTGTCAACACATCATTTTATTTGTTTGGATTTCTTAGAAAATGAAAATAGACAATTTATACTAGAAAAGACCCAAATATTTAAAAATAAACCAGGTGTTTTGCAAACCTGTATTCCCAATACTCAGGAGACTGAAGCAGGAGAATTATAAGTTCTAGGCCACCCTGGGCTAATGAATTTGAGGTTGTCCTGAGTTATGTAATAAGATCCAGTCTCAGGTTCTCAAAACACAACAAAGTAAAACAGGAAATGGTAGCAAAGCCTAGCAGTTACCTGAGTTGTTTATGGCAGTGTCTTGGTGATGTCTGTCAACTGTTCTAGAAGCATAGGCAGGGCACAGATGGTCTCTTCAGATAGTCTTTCAATCCTCCCAGATGTTACAGAAAGTAATACAGCTGCGTATTTGTTGAATCTTCCTTTTTTAGGTCTTTGTTAATGCTTGTTTTCTTTCCCCAAAAAATATATGGAATTATTGACATTTTCCGTGAATATTTATTTCACTAATACAAATTTATGTCTTACTGCTTTTTTCTTTGCTCATCTACATAAAAATTAATCTTTTTAGAAATATTTTTTATTTTATGTGCATTGGTGTTTTGTGTGCATATATGTCTGTGTGAGGTTGTCAGATCTTGGAGTTATAGACAGTTGTTAGCTGCCATGTGGGTGCTGGGAATTGAATCCAAGTCCTCTGGAACAGTAGCCAGTGCTCTTAACCACTGAGTCACCTCTCCAGCCTATAAAAATTAATTTTTTTTTTTTGGTTTTTCGAGACAGGTTTTCTCTGTGTAGCTTTGGAGCCTATCCTGGCACTTGTTCTGGAGACCAGGCTGGCCTCGAACTCACAGAGATCCCCCTGCCTCTGCCTCCCGAGTCCTGGGATTAAAGGCGTGTGCCACCAACGCCCGGCCTAAAAATTAATCTTTTATGTCAATAATCTTTCTAGAAACTTTTCATTGTTGTTTTTGTTTTTTGACACTATGTAGCCAAGGCTGGCCTTAGAACAGACAATCTTCCTGCTTCAGAGATACTAAAATATGAAAGTATTGATCTTACAAATGATAAAATATAGAGTAAGAGTAAAAATTTTTCACTCTAGGTTAACATAATTTTAAATGTGTAATAATGGATACAGATTTTATATCTATACAGCAAAATATATTTTAATATGTATGTGCGTACACATACCTAGATATATTATCTATATACATATATATATTATTTACAGTATGAAGTGAGACTTTTTACCAAACATTTTTGATAAAAATATAAATTGATAAAAATAGAAATTGAAGTCATTCTGTAAAGCATAAATTTGTACAGTATAGAAACAACATACTTTCTATATATAGTTTTATTAAAAGTTATTTCATTTTACTTTAGGAAACCCAAGGAAACACATAACATCTTTGAAGAAAGCTGTAGATATGACCTGCAACGGAGAACCATCTCTCTATAATTCCTTAAGCATGGCAATGCAAACCCTAAAGTTAGTATTTTAAAATTTATTTATTTTATTTTTAATTATGTCTCTGTGTGTGTATGTGCATGCATGTGTACATGAGTAGAGCCTGCCAGAAGAGAGTATCAGATCCCTTGGAACTGGAGTTAGAGGCATTTGTGAACTGCCTAACATGGGTGCTGAGACTTGAACCCGATGGGGCCTCTGCATGAAATTCTGTGCTTGTAGCTGCTGAGCCATCTCTCCAGGCTTTGTTTCTTCGCCCCTTCCTTAGTTCCTTCCTTCCTTCATGCCTTCCTTCCTTCTTTTCTTCCTTTCTTTCTCTCTTTTTTCCCCCTCCCCTTTCCCTTCTCCTTTCCACCCCTTTCTTCCTTTCACAAGACAGTATTTTCCCATGTTGTCCAGGCAGCCCTCCAGCTTGCTGTGTAACTGAGGATGACCTGAACTCCTGATTCTTTGGTCTCTACCTCCCCAGTGCTGAGATTACAGGCATCACAAACATAGTCAGTTTATAGTATTATTTATAATTGCTTCAGAGTTTTTTTTTTTTTTTTATGAGTTGTAACAGGTCTTCATGATGCCTGTTTTAACAAAAGAATTAAGTTGGGAAAGATCTAAAATGTCATGTATGATGTTTATTTTGATGTTGGCTATTTTTTTTTAACATTTATTAATTATGTATACAGTGTTCTGCCTGCATGTATGCCTGTAGGCCAGAAGAGGGCACCAGATCCCATTATATATGGTTGTGAGCCACCCTGTGGTTGCTGGGAATTGAACTCAGGACCTCTGGAAAACCAGCCACTGCTCTTAACCACTGAGCCATCTCTCCAATATGATGTTGGTTATTTTTAATTTGTCTTTTTTTTTTTTTAAAGATTTAATTTATTTCTTATGTATACAACATTCTGCTTCCATGTATATCTGCACACCAGAAGAGGGCACCAGATCTCATAATAGATGGTTGTGAGCCACAAATGGTTGCTGGGAATTGAACTCAGGACCTCCGGAAGAGCAGTCAGTGCTCTTAACCTCTGAGCCATGTCTCCAGCCCCTTAATTTGTCTTTTATCAGTTAAAGTATATCTGTAATGTGTTTAGAAAAATACAACAAAATTCACAGCAGTACACAGAATTATGAAAAAAATTTAATTGAGTATAAATTGAATGGCTAGGCATGGCATTGCATGTTGGTAATACCAATACTCCAGAGACTAAGGCAGAAGGCTTATGAGTTTGAGTTATATTGTAAGACCCTTTTGAGAGAGAGATTGAAATTAGAATGTTTTTTGTTTGTTTTGAGATAGGGTTTCTTTGTATAGCTTTGGCTGTCCTAGAACTCACTTTGTAGACCAGGCTGGCCTTGGATTCATAAGAGATCCATTTGCCTCTGCCTCCCAAGTGCTGGGATTAAAGGTGTGTGCTACCACTGCCTGGTGAAATTCAGAATTTAATACCAAATACTAAGTATATTGGCTGCAACTTTACTGACATACATTACCACACTTCGTAGCTTAAATTTATAAACCATGTATTCTCTTCCTTTTCGATAAACTTTTAGCTAGTGTAATTTGTTTGATCTATTGGAGTGTATCTTCACCTCTCTTTATAGACACATGCCTGGACATACAAGTAGAGAAGTACTAATCATCTTTAGTAGCCTGACAACCTGTGATCCATCTAATATTTATGATCTCATCAAGGTAGGTCCAAAACTGAAGCTAGACTCTAGAGGAGATTCTGTAGTAAATTTATTACTAGTTGTCAGAACACTATTTTTCAAAGTAATTATTTATAAAATTTTTCTCCTGAAATCTTTCATCTTTTTGGATCTTATGAAGACCCTGAAGGCAGCTAAAATCAGAGTGTCTGTTATTGGATTGTCTGCAGAGGTTCGAGTTTGCACTGTACTTGCTCGTGAAACTGGTGGTAAGTATCTACTATCTTCAATAACTGTAATTACCATGTAATAAATAATTTATTAATTAAGTAGGAAGTTTTACTCCATTAAGCTGAAACCATTTTATGCCTGTAGTCCAAAATATAGCCATAGTCTTCAACATTTCATTAATTTTTTTTCTAAGCAACCACTTAAAATGCAATGAATTTTCAGTAGGTCAGTGTTTAGAGTTATAATTTTCAAAAAATTAGTAACCTCACTATACATAATACTTTGTAAAGAATGTGTAGCTTAGCTTTAATTTTAGTTACTATTATGCCTAGAGAATTTGACTGAGAGATTTAATTTAAATTATTTTTTAAATGATAATTTACTTAATGAATTTTATATTTTCATACGATTAAACTTACACACAGAAACTTTTTTTTATAACTGCTGTGTTTTACTTTTGCTTGTTAGGCACATACCATGTTATTTTAGATGAAACCCATTACAAAGAGTTGTTAACGCATCATGTTAGCCCTCCTCCTGCCAGCTCAAGCTCCGAATGCTCACTCATTCGTATGGGTATGTGTTTCTTTTGTGTTGGTTTACATGTGTGCCTTTGGTTCAAATTAGGCATTCTGCTTTCCTTTGTGCAAGTTATTGCTTTGACATTTAAGAATTTTTTTTCTTACTTAAATCCTTAACATTAAAAAATTGCATGTTGAAGCATGTTTATAAAATGAAGAGAAATTTAAAGCTACCTATAGTCATGTCATATGAAAGCACTTCTGGCCTTCTTGTTAAGCTAGGATGGTACAAAGGTATTTTATTTAATGAAAAATACTTGTGGTAAGAAATTTGATAAATAAGCTACAAAGTCTTTATTATGTAATCAAAGTATGTCATACAAACTGCAAAGACAGAAAGCTGCAGAGAGTACGCCAAATTACTCATTGATTTTTTTTTTTTTTTTCAGGGAGTAGGAAATGAATGGTCATAAAAATGATCATTTAATTTTCTTTTTTCTGAGGCAGGGTTTCTCTGTGTAGTCATGAATGTCGTGGAACTCACTATGTAGACCAGGCTAGCCTTGAACTCACTGAGATCTACCAAGTGCTTCCTCCCAAGTGCTGGGATTAAAGATGTATACCACCACTGCCCAGCACCTTTGCTTTTATTTGTTCTTTTATTTAATTATTTTGTGGTGCTGGAGATTAAACCCCAGACCTTGTACATACTAAACATGTGCCATACACTGAGTTTCCCTTAATCATTTGTTTGTTTTTATTTATAGATTCATCTTTCAATTTTATGTAATGATCTCTCTCTTGCTCTCATTCTTCTGGATCCTGCTTTTCCTGAATATGTATTCATATTTTTAAATTGTATATGGGAAATAAATGAAAAGTTTGTACATTTCAAAAAATTAATAATATTTTCATGCACTCATATAAAATATATTTTGATCATATTTATGTTCTATTTCTTCCTCTAATTTCTCCCATATCCCCTCAAATTTCAAAAATTTAAATAGAAATATGTGCTTAGATAAAAAGAAACTATATCATGTAATGTATATTTAGTTGTATTAGAAACTGTATAAAATTGTGAACTTTTTCTTTTTAGATTTAGTATTGCTAAATTAAAATATAAATATGAATTTTGGAATATGAGGTATCTGTAGCTAGATCATTCTCCCTTTTTCTCTACTTTTTCTTATATCTTGGAAATAGAGTTTTATCATATTATGATAAGCACATATGTACTTAGGAGGAAAGAGCTTTTTGCAACTTGGTTGATGTTTCTGTTAGGACTGTTTTTAGATTCATAGTCCTAAAATTCTGTTCTTTGTCTATAAGAGAATTAATGCTTTAATTTTTTTTTTTTTAAACTTATAAAGGATTCCCTCAGCACACCATTGCTTCTTTGTCTGATCAGGATGCAAAACCATCCTTCAGCATGGCGTAAGTAAAGAGCAATTGTCAGTGATTTTTGTTTGTTTGTTTGTTTTGTTTTGTTTTTCGAGACAGGATTTCTCTGTGGTTTTGGAGGCTGTCCTGGAACTAGCTCTTGTAGACCAGGCTGGTCTCAAACTCACAGAGATCTACCTGCCTCTGCCTCCCGAGTGCTGGGATTAAAGGTGTGCGCCACCACCGCCTGCATCAGTGATATTTTAACACTTAAAATTCATTCCTCTAAGTTTTAAGTTTTAAGTTAAATAGGTCTTGAAATATAATGATATCTTTTTTCTTTCTTTTTTATTTTTATTTATTTTTTACTTTTCAAGATGGGATTTTTCTGTAGTTTTGGAGCCTGTCCTGAAACTCACCTTGTAGACCAGGCTGGCCTCGAACTCACAGAAATCTGCCTGCCTTTGCCTCCCAAGTTCTGGGGTTAAAGGTGTATAATGATTTTTATAAACTAATACTATCTACACAGCCACAAAAAGAAATGATCCTCTTTGTATATGTCTATGCTGTGATAGTTAGGATACACTGCTAAATAAAATGGCAAGGTATAAATGTCATCTAAATTAAGGGTGGGAGAGGCATGCTGGCTTACACCTGTAATTCCAGGACTCAGGAGACTGAGGCAAGGTGATAGTTTTGAGTTTCAGGTCACTCTTGGCTATAGAATGAGATCCTATCTCAAAAGCCATAAAAAATAAAACAAAAACACAGATATGAGTAGATGTATTTACTTGTTTATTCTAATGATAAAAAATAGTAGTGGGAATAGAAAGTTAAAACATTTATCTTGGTGGGTACTTGGATAACTTAAGGAGATTCTTCTCAGAATAAAAAGGTAAATAAAGGAGGGCTGGGGATGAGCTAAGTGGTAAAGTGCTTAACTTTTCTGCATAAGGCTGAGCAGAAGACATTTAATAGAGCCCATAGTAATGGGGCCAGATTAGGTTAGTTGCCAGATCTAGACCAGACTAGTGATACTTAAAACAAACTTTGAATAGATCAGTTAAGTGTTTAAGTCACTTTACTCTAAAACAAAGCTCGGCATATTTATGGAGAAAGTAGTTAGCACCCAGAATAACACAATTTACAATATCTGACAGCATGCAGAAATGACTAGGCAGCCAGCTGTGCTGATGTACATGGTTACATGCCAGCACTGGGAGATGAGATAGGAAGGTCATGGCAAAGTTAAGGTTGGCTTAGGTTACATAGCGACACTGGGAAGGGAAGAGGGAAGGAATGAAAGGGTGGGAAGGAGAGAGGGAAATTGGTGTGTGTGTGGGATGGGGGTAGGGTGGGATGGGGGGAGGGCAAATTTCCCTAGAGAGAGAATATGAAAGAACAAGAATAACAAAGAAAAGTTACAGAATGGAAGCCAGAAGACACTTACTGGATTTCAAAGATGACTATTATAGTAGTCAAGGAGAACTTGAAAATGTATAAAAAGACTCAAATGAAACTTCTAGAAATGAAGAATATATTATCTGTGAAGAAAAGTGCATTGAAAGGGTTGAAGAGATGGCTCAGTGGTTAAGATCATGTAATGTTCCTCTACAGGACCAAAGTTTGGTTCCTAACAGTGGGCAGCTCACAGCTGCCTGTGACTCCAGGTCCAAGGGATTTAACACCTCTGTTCTCTGAGGGCACTTGTACTCATGTATCTTAAGAAAAGGAAAGAAAAACACACTGTATGGGATTAACAGATTAGTCAGTGCAAGAAAAAGAGAAAAAAATAATAAATTCAAAGACAGCAAGAGAAATGTCAAAATAGAAAAAGGACAGCATTAGTGAGCAATAAGAAATACAAGTTTTCAAGTAAAATTTTGATCACTTATCTATTTAATTTATATATATATATATATATATATATATATATATATATATATTTATTTATATTTTAAGACGGTCTCACTGGGTGGCCCTGGCAGGTCTGAAACTCACTATTAAACCAGGCTGGCCTGGAACTCACAGAGATCTGCCTGCCTCTGTCTTCTGAGTGCTGGGGATTGAGTTATATACTTTCTTTAGCTTTTTTTTTTTTTTTTACCTTTTAAAAATAACTGTTTTGGGGCTGGAGAAATGGCTCAGCGGTTAAGAGCACTGGCTGTTTTTCTAGAGGTCCTGAGTTCAATTCCCAGCAACCACATGATGGCTCACAACCATCTATAATGAGATCTGGCACCCTCTTCTGATCTTCAGGCATATATGTAGACAGTACACTGTATACAAAATAAATTAAATTAAAAAAAAATAACTGTTTTTTTTCACAGGCATTTGGATAATAGCACTGAGCCAGGACTTACACTGGGAGGATATTTCTGCCCACAGTGTCGAGCAAAGTACAGTGAGCTTCCTGTTGAATGTAAAATATGTGGTAAGAGTCCTATTATCCTTTACTAGTAAATTAGTATTAAATAACTTTCTATCTGTGTAGCTGCTGAAATAAACAAAAATATTGAGTCCTGTTTATTATATACTTAATTTGTACAAAGGGAATAGAAATAATCCACTTCTTAGAATAAACATAGCATTATAGAAGTTTCCTGATTCTCTTTCTGTTAAATGTGTTCTTTAAAAGCACTTATAATAGCCAGGTGTTGGTGGCACATGCCTTTAATGCCAGCACTCGGGGAGGCAGAAGCAGGCGGATCTCTGTGAGTTCAAGACCAGCCTGGTCTACAAGAGCTAGTTCCAGGACCGCCTCCAAAGCCACATAGAAATCCTGTCTCGAAGCCCCCCCCCAAAAAAAAATAAAAACACTATAATAGATTTAATAGACTTTTTTGAGCTTTTAATAGAATCATTTTATGTTAGTAGAATGAGGAATTAATATAATTCTAAGATCTTTTATTTTTAAGTAAGGAAATAGTTTTCCAAGAGAGGTTATGCATTTAGTGACAGAACGAATTCTGTAATCTTTATGCCTACAGGCAAGAACACTCAAGGTCCTAAAAATACTAAGTGCTGAATATGTAGCATAACGGCAGGTTTTAGTGTGTGTGAGGCCCTAGATTTGATCCCCACCACTAGAAAAATAGAAATAAAAACACTTGGAAGTAGTTTTTCTAAGTATATCACTCGACTTTTCAGCTATTATGAAGTTGTGCTTATTAATATTTCTGTCTGTATGCATTAGGTCTTACTTTGGTGTCTGCACCTCACTTGGCACGATCTTACCATCATTTATTTCCTTTGGATGCTTTTCAAGAAATTTCTCTAGAAGAATATAAAGGAGAAAGGTATTATGAGTTTTGATTAATTTATATGTTACAGTGGTAAACTAATGTTTGAAACAATTATCACCAAAAGGTATATTAATTTGTGGAAAATTACTTTTAATATAGGAAATGAGATGTAGACTACTCTGTATTTCTAGAAATCTGTTTATTTGCCTAAACTCACATATTTGTGGTCAAGAGTGATGGTGCATTGCTTTGGTTGGGGTTGGGGTTGGGGGCTAGAATGATGGCTCAGTGATTAGGAGTGTGTACTTCTCTTGGGGAGGCCCCAGGTTGGGTTCCCAGAACCTCACAGCTGCCTGTACTTCCAGCTCTAGGAGATTCTATGCCTTCTCTCCTGTATCTACACTTCTCTGCACATACATGCATATACATACATAAAATAATTTTTTTTTCTTTGGTTTTTCAAGACAGGGTTTCTCTGTGTAGCTCTGGCTGTCCTGGAACTCACTTTGTAGACCAGGATGGCCTCAAATGAGATTTGCCTGCCTCTGCCTCCTGAATGCTGGGGTTAAAGGTGTGTGCTACCACCACCCTGCTTGATTATAGATTTTTCTGAAATGAATATTTTCTATTTTCAAGAGCATCAGCATTTGGGAACCTTTGATCACCAAATAATTATGCATCCATTCATCACTTTTCATACTTAAAAATAGCATAGAAGAAATTTCATATGCTGATGGAGAGATGGCCCAAAGACCGCAGGATTTCACTGTCCAGCTAGTGTAGCCATTCAGTGAGCCCAGGTTCAATAAGAGACCCTGTTTCTTAAAACAAGGTAGAGAATGATTAAGGCGGACACTGCATATCAACCTCTGGTCTCTCTGTGTGTATGCATGCCACATAGGGAAAAGAACTCATTTCAAACAAGCATGTCTAGATCCCTTTTGTTTTTAAAACTGCTTCATATTTCATGGGTATATTATATATAATACATATATAATCAGTTGCTCCCTATTGAATATTAACGATAATTTCTTTGCTATTAACAAGTAATGTTCATGTCTATATCTCTGAATTTTTAGACAGGAATGTGCATACAAATTCTCAGGTAGAATTGCTGAGTAAAAGTTATATAAATTTTGTTAATGTTGTAAAATTATCCTTTTTTCCCCCCCCGAAAAAACACGGTTTCTTTATGTCTCCCTGCTGTCCTGGAACCAGCTCTGTAGATCAGGCTCACCTGCTTTCTCTGCCTCCTGAGTACAGAGATTAAAGGCGTGTGCAACTACCACCTGTCAAAGTTGTCCTTTAAAGAGGCTTTATATACTATTTACCCATGCTTGACTGATACTAGGTATTATGAAAGTTTTGTATATTGGCCCATATTGACAAGTCAAAACCCAAGTTGCGTTGTCTTAAGTTATATTGAAGTGTGAAACCTAGTAGATGGGTTGGAAGATAGAGGTGAAGAAATATGCCAGAAATTAGAGTAAAAGTTGTAATATGGTGTAAATAGGAGAGTTAAAGATGAAACAGGTGAATTTATGTTGAAGGTCCACTGTGAGAATAATATGAAAAAGAAAGATACATTGTAGATTAGTAAAACATTTTCCTTTTAAAAAGATAATTTTCTGCCTAGCAGTGGTGGCACATGCCTTTAATCCCAGCACTCGGGAGACAGAGGCAGGTGGATCTCCATGAGTTCCAGGCCAGCCTGGTCTACAGAGCAGTTCCAGGACAGCCAGGACTGTTACATGGAGAAACCCTGTCTCGAAAAACCAAACCAAAAAATCCCTAAATTTTTTTTATACAATTGTGAAATTTCAAAATATACAGCAAAACACTAAAACTGTCAGAGCATTCACCTTCACATTTAAAGGGAAACCTGTAACTCACTTAAATTATATCCACAAGCCAGCTGCCAGATTCCTGTTATGAAAACATAAAGATGTTTTCAGACTTGTAAGGTCTCAAAAAGACCTTTCTGGGGGAGGGCTAGCATAGTACATAGAGACACCTGCCACCAAGCCTGATGATCTGAGTTCAATCCTGAGGACCCACATGGTGGAAGGTGGGAATTAACTCGCACAAGTTGTCTTGTCTTCCATATGCATGTCATACCACACAAGTACCCACACACATACATACAGATAAATAAATATAATACAATAAAAATTGCTTAACAAAAAGAGATACTTAGGAGATGTTCTGGAAGAAGTAGGAGTGAGGAGGAGATGGACATGGGATCTGTGGACAGGTATCTATCTGCAAACAAGCCAAAGGAATCTTTTTGGAGCCTATCCTGGTACTCGCTCTGGAGACCGGGCTGGCCTCGAACTCACAGAGATCCGCCTGCCTCTGCCTCCCAAGTGCTGAGATTAAAGGCGTGTACCACTGAACACCCGGCACCAAAGGAATCTTTAGGGTAAGGGTTATGAGAGATCAGAGTGATGTCTGTTTAGGGCGAATAGTCAATCTTGTTTTGGAAAGTCAGAATTCTCCAAGAAAGATGTCTTGAGGGGAAACAATAGATTTCCTGAGAGTTAAATGTATTCAGAGGCTGTTTAGACTATTCAGGGAAAGATTAGAGCTGAACTGTGTCAATTATGTAGAAAAGTAAGTTTGCAATTAACTATCACCCAAAAAGTCTTTAAAAGAAGACTATTCGGGGCTGAGGAGATGGCCCAGTTGGTCAGATGTTTGCTATTGCTGTGCAAACCTGAGGTCTGGAGTTCAGATTCTCGGCACTCAGGTAAAATGCCAGGCCCAGCAGTGTATACCTATAATCTTAGCACTGGGGATACAGAGGATTCCTGGGGCTTGCTGGCCAACTAATCGAGCTAATCATTGAGCTCCAGGTTCCGTAAGAAACATTATTATAGATAAGTTTGAGTTAGGTAAAACAAAACAAAACAAAAATAAGATGGAGAGTAATAGAAAAAGACACTGAGGTAATGAATTATCTCTGGCCTCCACATATACTGGCAGGGGCACTGCCACTTATGTATACCTCACACACACATAAAAAAGAGGAAAGGGGGCTGGAGAGATGGCTCAGCAGTTAAGAGCACTGTCTTTTCTTCCAGAGAACCCAAGTTCAGTTCCCAGCACCCACATGGCAGCACACAACTCTGTAACTCCAGTTCCAGGGGATCTGACACCCTCAAGCAGACACACATGCAATCAAAACACCCATGCAAATGAAATGAAAATAAATTTTAAAAAAGAGGGAAAGCTCTATTGTATTACTTGTCATGGCTGAAATATTTATATATGTAGTAAAGTAAGTAATGAATGCTGTTTCCTATAAGTTGATTTAATTATGTAGAAATACTAAGAGTGATATTAGTTATTTACATATACACATTATTAGGCCAAGAGGGCTAAAAGAGAATTAAATTATTCAATGGAGGTTCATAGCTAGCACTCATAAAGAGTTAAAACTGCACACTTATAAGTGTGCCAGTTAAATTTTTTTTTTTTTTGAGACAGGGTTTCTCTGTGGCTTTGGAGGCTGTCCTGGAACTAGCTCTTGTAGACCAGGCTGGTCTCGAACTCACAGAGATCCACCTGCCTCTACCTCCCGAGTGCTGGGATTAAAGGCATGCGCCACCAACGCCCGGTGCCAGTTAAATTTTTAACAATGATTTTGGCATTTCCATCTATGTGTATGTGTGTGGACATACACATGTGGGTGCAGGTGCTGGTAGAGCCTAGAGGCGTTAGAACCCCCTGGAGCTGGAGTTACAGGAGGTTGTGAGCCATCTGATGTTGGTATTGGGAATAGCAGCAAGTGCTTAACAGCTGAGCCATCTTTTTGTTCTCTGCTAAAAATTTTGAAGGTACTTCTAGGGAGGTAGAAATGAAATGAGGAGAATAAAATAAAGATGGCTTTTTTTGTTGTTTTTTGAGACAGGGTTCCTCTGTATGGTCATGCTGTCCTGGAATGAGGCTGACCTGGAACTAGGCTGACCTCAAACTCATAGAAGTCTAGTTCTGTCTCCCACATGCTGGGGTTAAAGGCATACGCCACCACTGCCATGCTAAGATTGCAGAGACTCTGTGGGCAGGGATGATGCTATGCATTGATTTTAGGACTACATGCCGAGGTTGTATTCTACCACTGAGGTATATAGCAGTCCCATTCCCAGAACTTTTAACTCCTAAAACCAATCCTGGAAAACAAAGCCACGGGCATCCATTATATGTAACAAATTCCTTGGTGCCTCTCTAGGATTCACGGCTATCTACCATATTTTGGAGAACTGAAAATAGTAATTCAAATATTTTCTGTAGTGATCAAATTCTCATAGAATTCTAATTCAGAAAGCGTGTGTTTATTTAGTCATAATGAAACTAAGAACTATGTTTTGGGCTATGTGATGACCTGGGACATACTGTATGATTTTTCTTGTTCTGAGGGATTATAAATGGAGTTTATTGAGTGTACTTCAAGAAGCAATAGGCTAGACTATATAGAACAAGAGTGCCATAGTCCATACTCTTAGGATTAAAAGAACTATTGACTTCTTAAAATGTTCTCTAAAAGTCATGTGTAAATACAATTACTTATTAAAGGATTCTAGGTACTAAGATTTTACTAAATTATTTTAATGAGTGAAAAAAAATGATTGTCAAACTTTTTTTTTTCCAGATTTTGTTATGGATGTCAGGGGGAATTGAAAGACCAGCATGTAAGTTCATTGGTTTTATCAACATTAAGTAACAACATAAGAAATATTAGACAATGACACTGTAATAAGTTGTAAGTAGATTGTTGAAGGCCAGGCTTTTATCAGGTTGTTCCCTATAAAGAAAATAAATAGAGTTAAAATGGGAACCAAGTTTTTAAATAGTTTTTGCTATTCTCATTCTAATTTATTATAGGGAGATTTTAATATTGTTGCTTCAGTTTTCAAGCTAAACTGCATTTAGTTTAGAAATATTAAAAATATTATAGTTGGGCTGGAGAGATGGCTCAACCGCTAAAGGCTAGGCTCACAATCAAAAATAAAAATATTATAGTATTAAACTTTAGAATCTATTATAATTTATTTTGAAATTAGCACTATGGTTTCATAAACAAAATTCAGCTATTTTTTTGAAGACAGAGCCAGGTGCAGTAGCATGTGCCTATAATCTTAGCTGTTGGAAAGGTAAGGCAAAGAAACACTTTGGAATTCAAGGTCACCCTGGGCAGCATAGTGAACTCTCAAGGAAAAGAAAAAGTAGGCATTTAAGGTCACTCTGGCGGAATAGTGAGTTCTCACCTTAAGACATAGCAGAGTTTTGAGCTGGACATGGTAACACCCTGAATGCTGAGATCACAGGCTTGTGCTAACATGCCCTGCTTGTTCTCACAAAAAAAGGAGTTTTATTAAGGTAGGTACGATAGCAGGTGCATAATGTCCCAGCTGTTCAGGGGGCTGAGGCAGGAGGATCTTAAGTTTAAATGCAGTCCCATTTCTCAAAAAATAAATAAATAGATAAGCAAATAATAAAGAAAATGAATGGAAAGGAACATGTTTTTTCTTTTCATTAAATTTTATATTCCCAGGTATCAGTGGAGTAGGTCAGTGGTAGAGCACCTAACTAACATCCATGAAGCCCTGGGTTTGAATCCCTGCACTGAACAAAAAGGTTTTGCAGTTTTTTTTGTCATTAGTAGCTTCATCCTCAGTAAAACTACTTTAAAAAATAGCAGTATTAAAATTTATTATTATTAGTGTGTGTGAGAGTATAATGTATATGTGAGAGTATGAGCACATGAATGCCACAGTGCATGTGTGGAGGTCAGAGGACAACTTTTGTAAGACAGTTTTCTCCTCTTAATTTTTATATGGGTTCTGGGGATCAAATTCAGGTTTGCATTGTGAAGCACTTTATGTTCTGAGCTCCATCCATCCATCCATCCATCCATCCATCCATCCCTAAATAAACAAGTACAACTTTGTCTGTGTAATGCTATGTTTGTATGTTTTCAGGGCTGAACATTAGTACTGGGTAATCCATTGGGAGGACTATTTCTCCCACTGTCAGTGTTCCTTGGTTGCTTATAGTTCTTTGTGTTGGGTTGATGCCCCATGGGCCTTTCTACATCTATGTTAGCATGTCTGCTGGCGTCCTTGTTCAGCTAATGTTTAGGCAGTCACATTAGTGATTCTTCATGGGTATAGCTTCTCTGACATTCCTAGGAGACACAGTCTCACAACATATTCTCGATTTCTCTGGCTCTTAGAATCTTTCTACCCCCCTCTTTTGCAGTGATTCCTGGACCTTAGGTGCAGGTGTTGTATCAGTTGGGATTGGGCTCCACAACTCTGCATTTTGATTGGTTGTGGTTTCTGTAATGGTCTCTGTTGCAAAAAGAAGTTTCCTTCATGAGGACTACACTTACCTGTGGGTATAAGGACATATTTAGAATGTAGTTAGTATTTTTGCTGATTTAGTACACTGGTGTTTGTAGATTTTCCTCCAAGATCCATGACTTAACTCTGGGTAGTTGTCTGGGTTTCCAGTACCAGGCGTGACTTCCCTCTTGTTGAGTGGACCTTAAATCCAATTAGAGAGCTGTTGATTACCACTGAAGCATTCATGCCACTATTACACCCTTAGGGTTTTCGTGCCATGCTGGTTATTGTTGTCACATTATAGCTGGGTAGGCTGTTGGTTGCTTTCCTCCTTTGAAAGCAAGTATGGATCCTAATGGTACCATGAAAGCTGGTCCTCAGGAAGGAGGCTGTCAGTCAGTTTCCTGAGGACTAGCTTTCATATTACCAGGAGGTGCTCCATTTGTCAGTTTTAAAGAACACATCTTTTCATGTTTGAAATGTATTGATTTTGAATCTGTGTATTGTTGCCCTAGAAATCTTAGACCAGGTTTCTTTGTATTGTTTTGGAGCCTGTCCTGGAACTTGCTCTGTAGATCAGGCTGGCCTTGAACTCACAATAATGCATTTTTTTTTTAATGTTTTATGTGTCATTTGACATTCTCTTGTGTTTGCTTTTTTGCTTTGTTTTTTTGAAAGGGTCTTGTAGCCCAAGCTGGCCTGGACTTTAATCTGTGGCCTAAAATGACTTTGAGTTTGTGATCCTCCTGCTTTCCAAGTGCTGGAATTATAGGTGTATAACCACCTCTTTCCCAGCTGTTTGTCATATTCCTTAAAGGTTTAATAAGGGAATATAGCTTTTGCAATTGAGAGGTCATTCTCTAAGAATAACTAAATCTATGGTAAGTTTTTGTGCTTTTTTGTTATTAGAATTGTCAGATGCCTTCAAATGTAGTACTGGTTTAAAAATCATGTGTTTAGGGCATTGGTGGTGCATGCCTTTAATCCCAGCACTCAGGAGGCAGAGGCAGGCGGAACTCTGTGAGTTCGAGGCCAGCCTGGTCTCCAGAGCGAGTGCCAGGATAGGCTCCAAAGCAACACAGAGAAACCCTGTCTTGAAAAACCAAAAAACAAAACAAAACAAAAACAAAAAACAAAAACATGTCTACCCCAAGTAGTTATTTAAAAGCAAGTAATCATGAATGCCCTTTAGTAGAATAGACTTTGAGGACTCAAAACAGAGTCACTCCTTTAAGGGCCAGCTTAAGAGGAAAACATGCGTTAGGTTTGAGAAAATTGGTAGGGGAAATTGATAACGGCTAGAGAGCAAGGCTTAAATGTCTTCCAACTGCTGTACTTTTGGAAACTAGTTTGGTTTAATTCACTTTTCTCCTTTTCATTGCAGGTCTATGTTTGCACAGTGTGCCAAAATGTTTTCTGTGTGGACTGTGATGTTTTTATTCATGACTGTCTCCATTGTTGTCCTGGCTGTATTCATAAGATCCCAACTCCTGCAGGTATTTGATTCCAACATGTAGGACACACACTGAATGGGTTAAGAAACTTGGAACTGTAAATAAAATGATTTTTTGAGTAAACTGATTCTTTAATTAAAATATAAAAATACTTTGAAAGAAGAATCTGGCTTAAACTTTTTGCTATGAAAATATATTATTTTTATTTATATTCTATCAGAAATATACATATAAATTCAATTAGTTTTGTTTCCTATTACTTTGAGTCATATTTTCTGTCTAACTCATTATTACATATAAATTATCTATAATGATTAAATTGATGTCATTAAATTGATGTCAATTTTTTTTTTTTACATTTTTATTTACTTGCTTAGGTGTGTGTCTGTATGAATTTTTGTTCATCATAGGTACCCACAGGAGTCAGAAAAAGGCATCAGATCTCCTGGAACTGGAGTTGAAAGGCGGTTATAAACTGCCCAATGAGGGTACTGGGATCCGAACCTAGGTCCTGTGGTGCAAGAGCAGCAACTGCTCTAAACCACTGAGCCATCTTTCCAGCTCCAAAGTATGATCTTTAAGGAAAAAAAATCCATATGTGCTTTCAAGCACACACACGCACGCACATGCACATGCACTCGCACACATGTGATCAGAGTCATCAGGATTCATATTCATTGAGTGGTTCTTTTTTAAATTTATTTTATATTCATTGGTGTTTTGCCTCTGTGTGTCAATGTGAGGGTGTTGGAAGCCCTGGAACTGGAGTTACAGACGGGTGTGAACTGCCATGTGGCTGCTGAGAATTTGTGGTGGTTTGAAAGAAAATGGCCCCCAAAGGAAGTGGCACTATTAGGAGGTGTGGTTGTTGGAGTAGTTGTGGCCTTATTGGAGGAAGTGTGTCACTGTGGAGGCGGGCTTTGGGGTCTCAGATATGCTTGAGCCATGACCACTGAGACAGTTCACTTCCTGTTGCCTTTGGATGAGATGTAAGGACTCTCAGCTCCAGCATCATGTCTGCCTGCATCCCTTGCTTCCCGCTGTGATAATGAACTAAACCTGTGAACTATAAGCTAGCCCCAATTAAATATTTTCTTTATAAGTTTCCATGGTCATGGTGTCTCTTCACAGCTGTAGAAGCCCTAACTAAGACAGAATTGAATCCAGGTCCTCTCCTGCCCCCATCCCTCACCCCTTTTTTTTAAAATTAAAAACGCACTGCAAATAAAAGAATCACCTACTGAAAATTAACCAGACCCAAAGACTATACAACTCAGTGAACTGTGTAACTGGTTGGAATAGAAGCTATGAAGCCTCACATTGGATTTTATACTTAACTATTGCAAATATTTTTAAGCACTTGCCCATCACTCAAACTGAAAAATCCATGACAGAGTTAGAACTAGAAAGACAACTAATTAGCTTTATATCCTTTCACTCCTTGAATTTATCACCTTCTTTCAGTCCTTCCTTATCCTCTAGTATTTAGCTTTTCTTGCTGTCTTTTCTGCATGTTATACTGTTCCCACATACACATTTATTTATAAGTATACCTTTTTTGCCCCGAGACAGAGTTTCTCTGTATTGCTTTGGAGGTTGTCCTGGAACTCGCTGTGTAGACCAGGCTGTATGTCTGCACACCATGTGTGTGCAGGGCCCCCAGCAGCTGGAAGAAGTCATTGGATCCCCTGGAACTGGAGTTACAGATGATTGTGAGCCACCATGTGGGTCCTGGGATTTGAACCCCAGTCCTCTGGAAGAGCAGCTAGTGCTCTTAACCACTGAGCCGTCTTCCCATCCTCAATGAATTATTAAAAAAAAAAAAAAAAAAAAAAAGACAAAGTTGAGGGTTAAGGAGGTGAAGATGGATCTGGGAGGAGTGGGTGGCAAATATGACCAAATTGCATTGTATGAAAATTTCAAAAAATTAATAAAAATATATTTTAAGAGACAAAACATCATTTGAAACAAAGATCATCAGGGCTTGTGCTATTTACAGGAAAGAACAGTAAGCATTCTGTAAGATTGTGTAACACTTATAACTTCCTCATTCATGGTTGTATGCCCGTGTTCAGGACTGTCTCTGTAATGGTTAGAAAATCCATACCAAGAAGTAGCTTCTTGATTGTGGAAAAAGAAGAAGCACATCCAGCCCTTATGGAAATAAATGTTAGTGGAGTCTTGGGGACTTCAGGGGGGGGTGACAGTTTATGGGAAAAGACAGGAATCTTGAATTCCTGAGGCCTATATGAAGAAAGGAAGAAGGGCACAATGGCCAGTTAGACTTCTGGGGAGTACTATTTAGTAGTCCTGTTGGGTCCAGTTCTACAAGGGCAGAGGACTCATTGTTTGTCTAACTCTCCTCGGGGAGAGAGATTGTGAGATGGACTATGGCCTCTCCCTGTGTGAGTTGCTGTTTGAGTCACACCTCACAGCAGGACCCTGGACACTTCATTTGTCATGTATTAATTTACTCAGCAGACCTTATATATCAAGAGTTCCTGGAGCATTAGGGATGCACATAATGAAGAGAAGATGATACAAGTCCCAGCCTTAGAGATCCTGAAACTTCAGAGAGACCTGTAAAGGGATTCACGTGAAGGTACTAACAGTACATCAAGGGTTACGGGAATGAAAGGGAGGAGCTGTACTGGGTTTGGACTAGGTTGATGCAGTGGAAATTCTTGAAGGTATTTGTCACATCTAAAGGAGGTTGCCTCTGAGAAGCTGAGCAAGGTAGAAGGGAGGTATCAAATTTGCTTTGCATCTGTTTGTGCTTTTTTGAATTTTATCTATAGGCATTTGTTCAAAAATTAAAACGTTATTTTTATTTATTATTTTATTTTATTTTTTTATTATCTATTTATTATGTGTACAGTGTTCTGCCTGCAGGCTAGAAGAGGGCACCAGATCTCATTATAGATGGTTGTGGGCCACCATGTGGTTGCTGGGAATTGAACTCAGTACCTCTGGAAGAACAGACAGTGCTCTTAACCTCTGAGCCATCTCCAGCCCCTATTTTTATTTTTTATTAAAGTGAGGAAAACTATGGTTTAACTCTAGGCTATTACTTTCTGTAAGCCCTTCCCCTATTTTGGGAATGTAGTTCCTCTGGTGGTATGTAGTTTAAAAATTGACTTCCTTGTGGGGGAGGAGGGATGGGGGTGAGGGAAGGGAGAGGGAGAAGGGATTTACATGTGAAACAAGTTTGTTCCCAACTTGAACTAATAAAAAAAAATTTAAAAAAAAAAAGTCTTCCTCCAGCCTGTGGAAAACCACAGAAACAGCTGACCTGAACTAGGGGGAGGGAGCTCATGGACTTCAGACTGACAGCTCAGAAACCAGCATAGGACCTAAGCAGGCCCTCTGAATGCTGGTGTCTGTTAGGAAACCTGGGCAGGTTTCTGGTATGGGGCCTCTGGTAGTGGAACAGCATTGGGAGCCCATTCCCCATAGAAGGATACTCTCTCAGCTTAGATACACAGGGGAGGGCCTTGGCCCTGCCCCTGATGATGTGACAGACTTTGATGATCCCCCATGGAAGGTATCACCCATTCTATGGAGCAGAAGAGGGATGGGATGGGGGTTGGTGGGGATATGGGAGGATGAGAGGGAGAGGGAACTGGGATAGACATACAAAATAAGATTGTTTCTAATTTAAATGAAAAATAAAAATAAATTAAAAAATTGACTTTCCTCCCATTTATGAGTCAGGGTCTCCATATATTGCCCAGATTGATCTCAAACTCCTGGATACAAGTGATCCCCCTGTCTTGGTCTTCTGAGTAACTGGGATTATAGACATCTACCACTGAGCCTGACATCAAAACGTGGTAGTTTTTCTTTCTTTATGTGCATATGCGTGTGTGTGTGTGTGTGTGTGTGTGTGTGTGTAGGCCAGAGGGCAACCTTGGGTGTCATCCCGCAGTAATTCCTTTGAATTAGCACGCCTCCTTTGAAACAAGGTCTTGGAAATCATTAATGAGGTTATAATGGCTAAACAGTGAACTCAAGAATCCTTCTGTGTCTGCCTTCCCAAAACTAGGGTTATGCCTGTTTGCATCACACCCAGCATTTTTATGTGGGGTTTGGACTTGGAACTGAGGTCCTTACGTGTACAAACACACACACACACACATACACACACACACACACACACACACACACACACACACACACATTAAAACAATGTTAAAGTTCAAGGCTAGCCTGGTCTACAAAATGAGTTCCAGGACAGCTAAGGCTACACAGAGGAAAGTTTGTCTTTTTTAACATTTAAAAAAATGTAAGAATGAAGACACAAGCCGGGCGTTATTGGTGCACGCCTTTAATCCCAGCACTCAGGAGGCAGAGGCAGGCAAATCTCTGTGAGTTCGAGGCCAGCCTGGTCTCCAGAGCGAGTGCCAGGATAGGCTCCAAAGCTACACAGAGAAACCCTGTCTTGAAAAACCAAAAAAAAAAAAAAAGGCAAATTAATTTTGAAATGAGTTCGATGGGCTGGGAGTTTTGAGGCTGTGGACTCCCTGGTGAAAGTGTGGCTGTGCAGGTGTGTCAGCAGTAGCAGCGATGGAGGCACCCCTTCTCTGGTACAGAAGCCCTTAGCCCTTCTCTGCTTCCCTTCAGTGTGCTGTGACTGATCAGCTAACTGAAAACAAATTGCTGAATTCAAGGGTTTTCTCCCTATTGGATGAAGATGGAGATAGCTATGAGAACATGACAGCATAGGAACTTGGCACTGCTACGTGGTCCCTGACAAAACCCATCAGAAGCCACATTTCAGGATATGACCAGTGATCTGGATACTGATAGCAATGGCACCATTGACATCCCAGAATTTTTACTGTGATGGCTAAAAACATGAAAGCTGTAGCTCACAAAGAGGAAATACAAATTATTCCATACCTTAGACAAGGATCGGAGTCATTGCATCAGTGCAGCAAAACTGAGCCAGGTCAGGACCAACTAAGGAAAGAACTAGCAGGTGAAGTCTGAATATTGGAGGAACAGATAATAATGAAGACAGATGAGTCAACTGTGAAGAATTCAGACTGTTGATGACCATAAAATGGAGACCTACTTTCAACTGCCCCCCACTGTCTGCCCCCAGGAATCAAATTGAGTCATTTATTTGAAATTAAAAAAAGAAAAAAACTCATTTATTGCTTCTGTTACTATATTAGCAACATTGAATGTCAAAGGTCTGTCTGCATATACAATCTTGTAATCGTGGGTAGTTCCTGCTCCCAAAGTTATACGCAAAGTTTTACTATATATATGTATGTATGTATATATGTATATGTATATGTATATATTTGGAATAGCTAGATGACAAGGAAACACTTAGTGGGTGGACTCTATTTGTTTGTTTTTTGAGACAGGGTTTCGCTGTGTAGCCCCAGCTGTCCTAGAACTTGCTCTGTAGACCACCAGGCTGTTCTGAAACTCACAAAGATCCACCTGCCTCTGCCTCAGATTAAAAGTATGTGCCACCACAGCCGTGCTTTTTTTTTTTTTTTTCTTTTCCCTCATGAGCCTTTTTTTAGGAAGAAATGCATAAAATCCATGTTCTGGGTTGCCATACTTCAGTTAACAAGAACAGTTAGCTGGAAGCAGAACTACAGAAGCTAAAACACAAAGTTAGTACACTTTGAGACTTTTACAGAACTATATGGACTTTGATAGACTTGGCCTCTTTTAGTTTTGGCAAGTGGTGCTGTCTACTTGCTGAGTTTTACAGCC